CCTACTCTGTGGGTTGGATAACTAAAGCTGGTTCAGTTGCTGTTTGCTTCAAACAGCACCCTTCTTTCCTTTGAACTGGCCAGAGCCTCCTCTGTTCAGCTGTAGCTCGTGCATCAGTGTATTGTCACTAAACACTCTGAGAGAGGCAGCACTGCACTATGATTAAATCTTCTATGAGAGAAGCAAAATACTTCTGTGATTTGTTTTTTTATAATAGCAATAATGTTGACTGCATTCTAATACTCACAATAAAGGTCTGTTGAGATTGTTATGTGCCTGGGCTCCCATTGCATGGACTTTTCTTCTGGTGAGCTAGTGAGTGTTTGTTTTAAAGCATTCAGGAATCTTCAGTTGCATGGTTAGCTTGTAATCCTTAAGTTAGGTGCAGTCATTGATACTCATTTGTCTACATTGCAAAGCTTTAATTGTATTTTAGCCTGTAGGCAAATTATACAGTCAGTAAATTATTTTTACAGCACTGAATTAATTACTGTGTGGCAAAGTAATTGGAAGATTTTTCTGTTCCTGAAGTGCTTTGGAGTTTAACAACTTCAAGGTTTGAGTTTTGCAATGCACTGGCTTCTTAAAAGGCAGTGTCTTTTTCAACATGTTCACAGTGATGGCGTCTCTTCCTGGGGGCAGATATCTGCCTTCGAAGAGTATTTTGTGCCTTTGTACAATGTCATTACAAAGTAACTTCAATTTGCTTCTAATGATTTCTTTTAATTTTGCCCACAAGCTGTTGTTCAGGACTCTGCTGTGGAAGAGAATAAATAAGCCAGCAATGCTGAGAAGGTTCTTCCCTTAGACATCCTGTAGACCAGGGCAAAAATGATGAGCAGCAGAGGAATGAAATTGAGCTACTGACACAGAAAAACTATTCTGTTGTTCACAGAAAAAATAGATATGATCATAAATGTAGCAAACTTCAGAATTTTAATTCTGAAACATTTTAATCATAGTTTAAGGGACAGTCCCAAAACAGTCTCTCAAATTTAAGGTCTGAGGTCAAATTCAGATCTTGGAGCAATATACCAAAACACTTTTTTTAATTAGCAGAGTTTAAAGATGAGGTTTCCCGAGTCAGGCCAACCATCTGGCCAGCCCAGTGTCTTATGTGCAGGAATGTCAGATCTGTACAAATTGGTCTTTCCCTAAATATATCTTTCACTTCCGGTAAACTGAGGTTTCCCTTACCAAATCTTTTAAGTCCATCAGTTTTATCACTCCCTGACAGGCATGTGCTCCTTGAGTTCAATGCCTCTTTTTTCATTGGTGGCTTACTGAATTCACACCTTTGTTGTGTGGCAGGAGTTGTGTTTGTCCTTGAACTTCCTTTCTGACTCCACTGACTCTACACCATTGCCCTCAGTTCAGAGAAGGTTATTATTGCATTATTGAAAAGACCCAAAGTAGTTTTGTCCCACCAGCACTCAGAATTTGGCATCCCGTTGTTACCCTTGTGTGACTGGTGGTGACTTTCCTCATTGCATCAGCTTGTGTTTTTCAAACACTTAATCGATTGAAGGTGCAAATCCTTTGTGTCACTGCAGGTTGCAGATCTGCCTCCTACTTGTTGAGATTTCAAACCAACGTGCATCCCAGTTGTGAAAATAAATATTTTTCTACTTTGAATCACTCTGGTACTATCTGATAGAGGAAAACTGTATTATCTTCAATGAATATGATTTTACCTGACCTAGAAATAGTTGATTTCTCCAGGGACAGATGCAAATTCAAGTGTTCTTATGTGAGCCTCTTTAAGTTCTTCTGTCACCAAAGGCATTTTTCTCCTATGCTGAATTACAACTGAAAACAGTTGGCAAGTCCTGTACCCACTGTTCTGATCTAACCAAGTTTAACATGGACGTTGTTGGAACTTCCCCATTATTTCTTCAGTTAGAAGAATGTCATGTATAAAGTGACTGAAAAGTGTATTATGTGAGGCTGTCATCCTGTCATCCTTTTTGCATCACATGAGGACTTAATCAGAGATGATAGAGATGTGCTTCACAAGGTCTTGAAAAGAAATGTACCAACTGTAAACCTTAGTTCTCTTATCTGTAAGTGTAATAAATGGTGTTAGTCTTGTTTTTACATAGTTTTCCTAAAATGTGTGAGAGAGCTATCTAATACTGGTGCTTTATTTAACACAGAAAACAGTTTATTATTTTAAAATAAATGAGCTGATTGATGTGGGCATGATTTCACAATGTTTTCAGTTCTTAAAATTTTTGCTTCCAATTTGCTGCCCCGTTCAGGAGGCTACCCCAAGTTTTCGTAAGCTAAGGTTGACTTCTCAGGCTCAAGTTTTATTTGGGTAAGAGTAACATTTTTGTGCCTACAGATGTCTGTGTATTCATATACAGGAATCATTTATCCTTGGGGCTTTTTGGCATGTAAAAACTGCAGTTGCACAAAGCATCTCCTCTGCTAAGAAAGTGTGTGCAAAACTGAAACAACAAATAAATATCTGCTTCTGCCTTAAGGTTTGTGATTTCAGTGTCTCATCTAGCTGACCTTTGTCTTCCCCCCAGCAGTTCTAGTTTGTAGTATAGATTGAGTAGCTTTTGCCTCATTTCCAGCACTAGAGCAATGATTTGGAAGACACGATAGTTCTAAGGCTTAATGGTCACAGGGACATTTTTTGCTTACTCCTTTTCTTGCCCTTCGTTGTTGAGCTAATTTAAGATGTTATTCCTTTTTTTCTTAGGTGCTAAAAGTAGAGGTCAATTCCATTTTCCCTTCACTGAAGGTCATGCAAGGCTTTTCTTAGTTTTTATTTGTCCAGCCACAGACAAGTGCCTCTCTTTGATGAATGCAAATTGCACATACTGCTCTGTAAACAATTTTTTTCCCCTTTTTAATCCATGGGCTGTTACATCCCCTTGAACATGCATGTACCAAGATGCCCACCTTGGTCTGACGCACATCTAGAAGTGGTTTAAGGGATGCAAATTGCCAAAATTCCTTTTCTTACTTTGTTTTTTAAGAGACTTCCGAGAGTTGGAGGTTCTTCCTAACCTGAGGAGCTCAGAGATTGTTTTCTGTTTCTGAAGGAAATAAAAGTCATCTTGGGAACCTGCACTATGCAGATACTGTGAATTTGTGCTTCTTTCTGTTAGTAATAGCCCTTTGATACTTCCTGGCTTCCTGTCTGCCTTACTCTGCCTTTTGTAGCAAAGAATAAAGGAGGAAAGTGAGTAGTGACCTTAATGAGCTTGCTCCTCTCCCCATTTGCTGTGCAAGGAACCTGAATAACACTTTTCTAATAACTTTAGAAAATTGTATTAAATCAATATCCCACACACTCAGCACACTGGTTGTGTTTTCCATTGGCTTGGAGATGTAGTGCCTGTAAGCACAGCTCCTGTTGCCCCTGGAGAGCCAGTGTCGCTGGGCTGGACTGTTTCTGGTTGCTTCCTTGTGGCTGCCCCACTGCTTAGGGGTCAAACACGAACCTGACACTCTTGAAGCACCCTTGAATCAGAAATGTAATGTTGTGGTCAAACTCTTCTTCCTTCCTGATTTAGCCACCCTAATGTTAATAATGGCTATTTAGTCAGATTGCTTTCCTCTGCATGTATTTTCCCTACAAATGCTAAGCTAATCCAGAAATTCAGCTTCTGTCTGTGCCTGCTCAGTCAAGGCTCTTACAGGGTTTGTTGTCTTTATGCCTCATTTTTTGGTCTGTCATCTGTACTGGCCACGTTCTTCATCTTTCCTCAGCTTGATCTTCCTGCAGACTATTGAGTTTCTGCAAATCAAGAGTAGGTTGCTTGAAAGTAAATTCCAGATATAGTCCCACTCGTTTTTAAAAGCCTAGTCATGCTAAAGCAACCTTGTGCTGCTGTTTGAGATCATATTTACGAGGTACATCAAATCCCATGGCATGGCAGTGGTCTACAGCCCACACAGAAGGATACTTGGATCACTGTTAGCACAGTGTTGCCCTGTAGGAGAGTATCAGTAGATAGGGTTATTTCTAGACTGTCTAGTACCAATGAATCACAAAAAAGAGTGCTGCTCTCACTTTTTCTTGAAATCAACCCAAGTCTGGCTTCGGACACGTGCTGTTACTATTTACCTAATTATTTTGGGCTTATTTGTCCAACCACCTTTGTACAAGTGAGGGTCAGTTCTCGTAATTCCTAGTGCAACTAAATACTGGCTCAGAAGAGGTGGACAATTAAGAAGTGATACTCTGGAACCAAGGAAATAATATTTCTGACATGTTTTAGGTTGAGGAACTTGCATGTAATTAGTATCAAAAAGCTTGGCTTAATAAACTTTATTGTCATACTGATGCTACAGCTGGAGAACAGCCCAAGAAGCAAAGCTGCTTCTGTCAGATTCTCGACTGTGTTGAAGTGCAAATGGGTGCAAATGGGAGTACAAGCAAAAATCTGAAGCGGTTGACTCTGAGCATCAGCTCGCTTCAGTCAGTGGAGCTACATCCATCCTGTTTTTCACTTCATAAATAACCACATTATGAATTGTATTTACTCCTAATGCTGCAGCACTCGGAGGCCTAACTCTCACCTGTCCCTCAGCAGGCTCGGCTCTCTGGGAACACAAAAAGGTGCACTTTTAATAGAGGGAACAGAACCTGTTTACGCCCCAGTGCAGGTGAGAGCCAGAGCTCTGCCTGAGGTCATGTCAATATCCTCAATTTGCTTGTTGATGTAACTGAGTCACCCCTTGCCACCTGCTGTGCCTGCTGCCACTTGTTCTCCTCTCCAGTGCCTGGGCTCAGTCGTGCTCCCTGGAGCAGGGATGAGAACTGGCTGAGGAGAACCATGAGGGCAGTTCCAGGTGAACGGGCCTCTTGCAGCTTTCTCAGAAGCATCATGTGCGTCACTCACCCAATTTTATGCCCAGTCTACCAGCACATAAGTGAACCCATCCATGTGATGGTTGCTATAAAAAGGCAGGTGAAGGCCACACGGAGTGCACAGGGTGCCTCCCTGACAGAAGGGATGGAGCTGTCCCGTCGCAAGATGGGATCCATCCCATTTTGCGCCCTTCTTTGCTGCTTTACTAGCATAGTAACAGCCAATATATTTGGTAAGTACACTTGTTCTTTTCCTCTGCCTGTGCCCATTGGTGACTGTGCTCCTGTGATCTTCGCTCTGTGATCTGCTCTATGTATTTTTCTGGTGGCATGTATAATTACCTTGAATCTTGCACGCTGCAAACTTAGCTAGTTATTGTGTGCTGTGCAAACCGAGTCTGGGCTCATGGTTAAATACTAAACTCTAAGGATCTTAAGTGGTCAGGCTTATCTGAGTTAGCACACGTGGATTTTGGGTGGAAGAAAAATTTTTCAAGGAACAGACTGGGCTAAAGAAAGAGCTTGGGTAAGAAAAGGTGGTGCTGCAGGGATGTGAAGGTCCTAAGATTGCATCTTCTGCTTGTATGTGCCATCATCTAATTGAGGCTTGAACCTGAAGGTATGGGTAGTCTGAGTGTGACAGTCCTACACAACCAGCAGTTTGAATCACTGAATTAGTCTTTTAACTCAAATGTCTTGGTAGACACTCTCCAGCACAGGGATCTCCACACATCCCAGAGCAACAACAGAGTTATGTTTGAGGTGAAAATGGTGAGGTTTGCCTACATGTACTTGTTTATGTATGAAATAACCTGAAATGTTACAGTCTCATGAAAAGTTTCACATGGTCTTAAGGAGACACAGTAAAACCTCACAGAAACAGCTGTGATTGAGAGGTCTTAGATGTACAGGAACCATCTGTGGCTGTAGAAGTTTCCTGACCTGCAAATTAAATATTTGAAAGTGAAAAGCATTGAGAATACTTATAACGTACTTACACTACTGTGTGTGGTCACACTCAGAACAAATACTAGCTCAAGTGAAACTTTGGTCTAAATCACTGTACCTGTGGGTTTGTTTGCAGTATTTTTATAAATAGTCAGTGGAATTAAGAGCATGACACTAATCAGATTTTGAGGATGGAGAAAGTGTCAAATCAACTAATCTGTTTTGTAAAACAGAACTTAGTGAATTTCATCATTCTCCTAAAACAGCAGCAAATGCAGCTTTGAATGGATTAAAAACTGAGGAGTTGACTACTTCTTTGCTAGGTGGCTTCAGTAGTTGATCAGGTCCCTCAGTGAAAGTTGAGAGTGCTCCTAATATGAATTAGTTTGACACTACTGCTGGACTGTAATTCTTCTTAGATTGTTTATGAGATTAAGAAGAAATACCTCTCCTTTTGGTGAAATAATGAGTGACTTAGCTTCAATAAAGAATAATTACTCAGAAACTTTAATAGTGATATGTGTGGTTATGGCAAAGGGCTCCTTTGTGGTCATAGGCATAACTAAATCTATGTGCCCCAAGTACCAGAAAATTATAGCCATGTTAGTACAGAACAAATCTGAGATCAACTAAACACAGGCCTGGGAAAGGAGTTCATGAGCATCTCCACTATGTGCTCATCCAGAAGCTGCCAGTCCAGCAAGTTTTTTCAGTACCTCCCTCTCACTGTCCCACACAGAAATGCACACAAGAAGCACCGGGGAAACAACCAGGGAGGACCCATGAACCTTGGATTGTTACCATGCAGGGCTGGCACTAATAAGGGTTTGGTAAGAACAGGTTTGTGGTGAAATCACTCTTATGTGTTTATCTTCGTGCTGCTTTCAGAGTATCAGACGGATTCCCAACCATTGCGTCCATGCGAACTTCAGAGGGAAAAGGCTTTTTCAGCAGGGGAAGCCTATGTTCCTCAGTGCTCAGAGGATGGCCAGTTCAGGTAATTCATCCCTGCTGTTAATCTGCTGTTATATGATCTGACCTTTCATTACTCATGGAAGTTTGAGACTATTTTGAAGAGCCTCTGTATCAGTGGACTGGAGGATGATGAGTGCAGGAGACTTGAAGTGACTTCACTGAGCCATGTTGCAGATCCAGCCCTTCCTGAATCAATTCTCTGTTGGAAATAATCTCTCAGGCTAGTCTTGGCAGCATTATATTTGCATGTTAAATACTTGGTGCAGGTTGCTGTGTAATGCAGCTGCTGTCATCCTACATGTGCTCACAGCCGAATGTGTGTGCCAGCAGGCACAGCTCAGCCGAGTTGACTGAGAAGTTACCCACCCTGCTGTAAGTGGCACGGTTGGGCTTCCTTCTAAAGGCAGTAAAGGAACAAAAAAGCACATGGAGGACAGTGATTTAGAGAGCAGTCTATTGCTTGAAGGTGCAAGAAGCCAAAAAAATTTAAGCTGAGGCTGAGTACAGATTGTAATGTTCCCTACTATTATCTTGTTGCCTCTGCAGTCAACCTTGGCCATTCTACATTTGATTTAGAAACTCTCAAAATGTATGGTGAATCTCAGATAATGAGAATCAGAATTCTGTCCTACCTGTTTGCTTCCTTAATGACTTCAAGTCACACGTCTGCAATTCCTGAAGAATTCATAGAATTACTAGAATTAAGAGCTCCCATCGAGTAGAGTCACCAGAAACACAGCCCTTGTCGATTCCCTTATTGGTGATGTTAAAGTACTTGAAGTTTTTTGGCTTGCTTTATGGTTTTGTTTGTGTACTGACTGAGGACTCTGTCACTCACAAAATAAAAAATATTACTTGTGATCTCCTTCAGGACAGTCCAGTGCAGTAGGAATGGTCTCTCCTGTTGGTGTGTGGATGAGAATGGTATTGAGGTACCTGGCAGCAAACAGAATGGATATCCCATATCTTGTAAGTCACAAGTGTCTATTTCTGTTCAGATTGGATAAAGAACTTTTTAAATCTGCATCTGAACTGCTGAAATAAAAAATAAGTTAGCTCTAGACTTTGATGGACTCTAGTTTGTTATAATTTGCTGGGACTTTCTAGTGGAAGTTCTGGAGTTTCTTCAGGGCTAATAATGGAATCCTGATAGAATCCTAATGGAATCCTAATGGAATCCTGGATGTCTGTATTTATGAGGGTCAGAGTAAGGTGAATCATGAATGAAAGATCAATTTATTGTAATGGCTTTTGAATTGGAGAGCTTCAACCCCATCTTGGTAGGTTTCTCTGTTCTAGTTTTCATAACCTCAAGTTCATCAATGTTCTCACAACACCTGGGTGGCAGACTCAGAACCTGTAGTTCCAAAAAAACTCAGATGTTGTCTTAATAAATGATTCAGTGCCCAAGAAGAACCTTCCTCTAACAGTGCTGCTCTCTGGTGCTTCAGGCTTGTCCTTTTGCCAGCTGCAAAAGCAGAGGATCTTGGTGAGCCGATACATCAACAGCAGCAGCATCTCCTACATCCCTCAGTGCCTGGATTCAGGGGCTTTTGATGAGGTGCAGTGTGACATGGAGCTGGGGCAGTGCTGGTGTGTAGATCCAGAAGGAATGGAGATTTATGGCACCAGGCAAAGAGGAAAGCCAGCACGGTGTAAGTAATATTCAACAAAATGGTGGGGTTTGTAGGTTTGAAAGGCTTGATGTGAATGAAAGGTGGTAGATCAAGAACCTGGGCACTGCAGTCTGCACTCATCCTATAGAGCTGTAGATAGTTAACTGAGCCACTTAAAGCCCTGTTTCATAGAACCAAAGAATATCTCAACTTGGAAGGGACTTATAAGATAATTGAGTCCAATTCCCTGCTCTTCATAAAAACAAGATGATGCACCTCAGTGTCCATGCTCAATGTAATGAACGTAAACCCCTTCCAAACAGTGGGGCTGCTATTCAGCTGTTCATGGGAAGTTAAAACACCCTAAACCATTACCTTTTTTCTTGGCAGGTCCAGGGAACTGTGAGATCCGAGACCGCCGCATTCTGCACGGGTTTGGGGAGAAGAGCCCACCACAGTGCTCAGCAGATGGAGAGTTTCTGCCTGTCCAGTGCAAGTTTGTCAACACAACAGACATGATGTTTTTTGATCTCGTTCATGGTTACAACAGGTAAGAGCTCAGGCCTCTGAATCAGGAGTGACTGATCAGTGAATTTTTTGGATTTTTTTCCCCACATGAAACCCTTCTTCTGTGACTGCACATGGTGTTATTTTCTGTTAATGAATGGACCCAGCAGAAAGCCTTTTCCTTCTGAATTAAATTTGCTGATTTAAAAAAAAATAAAAATTGTATTCCATCTCTGCAGTCTAATCTGTGTGTCTTCACACAGCACCGGATGCCGCGTTGTAATCCGTGTTTGGAAAAGTAGACAGGGCTACTTCTCAGGCAGACAACAGCAAATGAGATAAATACAGAAGGAGCAGAGGAATTTGGATATATATGTGAGGTAGGAAAGACAGTTCCATATGAGAGATGAAAAGAGATGGACAGACAGACAAGAACCAAGATGCAAAGATGAACTTCCTCGTGATGATGGGAAACTCTTGTCTGTTTAGGCAGTGCTGAGGTTGCTCACACAGGAGAACCAAGCAAGTGATGAATTGCTATGCTGGTGTACGACTGGCTTTAGGAGACTGGAGGGAGTTGGGGAAGGCTCCACAATGCTGGATCAAATCCTTGTCTGTGGGAACAAGAAGCTGTTGTCCTGTGGAGGAGCTGGGAGTTAATACGGGAATGGAGCTGCAATTAATATTGAGGTGGAGAAACAAGGGAGAGGCAATGGGAACTGGAGGGGGAGGACTTTGTTTTGGCACAGATGTACAGACTCTCCAGAGGAATCTTTTGGTCTCTTGTGAGGTGCATCTAAGCACATTTCCCTGCTGGAGGCCAGTGGAGTTAATGTAATGTCTCATTCTGACTTGGCTCTGTAGCAGCAAAGCAATTTTATTGTAGATGTAAATTTTGCTATTTTGAGGGTTTTCTTTTTTTTTAATTTAAGCAAAACTGAAGGATGGGCCCAAATGCACAGTGCAAATTTGTCAGAGCTTCAGGAGAGGTTATTTTGGCAAGAGCAAAATGATCTGGTTGTTTTGTTTGTTGGCCTGTGGCGTGTGAAATTTCTAAAAGAGCAATTACAGAGGAGAAATCAGTGCTTTAAATTGGCATATTTTTTTCCTCCCATTGGGAGGTTTGTCTGTAAAGACCTGTGATTGGACTTATTCTGTGTCCGTGTCATGTAATTAATCACAGCAGGATCATTTTACTCCCAGCTGTACACCTTTCTAATTATGGCATTGACTTAACCTATTACCATCATATCTGAGTGTTTCAGGTCATTAATATATTTATTTTCTCACTACTCCTGCTTGAAATGTCATTATCTGTCCCTTGGGGGTCAGAATAAAGAGTTGAAGGGATTAATTCCATAGCAAAGAACTGTAGCAGGGAATTTAAACCCATATTTTATGTTAGTGAGGAACCAGTGGAACAACTCAAAGTTCAAAGACAAGGTTAACAATCTCACATTTATTTACTTTCCTGTATTTTTGAGTGCAAGCATTCTTGTTGAAACACATGGATACACTATAAATTTATGCATAATTTAAATGTGGTCACCTTTGCTTTAGCCATTGTTTTGGACTGGCTCTGATAGATGAGGAACCCCGTGTTATTGCTGCTCTGAGTTATTGCAACTCATCGTAAGGGCTATGGTTAAAAAGAATCTGAGAAAAGAAAAAGGGTGTTAGGAAGTGAGTTTTCCACATAAGGTGAGAAAAGTTCTGCCCTCTTGTTTGTACAGGCCCAGTTTATATCCGTTTGTGCTTTATTTACCTGTACTCTCGACTTGGAACAAAAATAACCAGAATGACAGGATATGACTGTAAAGCTGCTCCAGATAAAAGTAGCATAATTGTGACATCTTAGCTTCAAGAATGAAAGGAAGCACCATGCAGGGTTTTTTCACTGAATCCTGTTTCACTCAGCTGGACGTTGAGATGCTGAGGCGATGAACTCCAAGGACATGAGCAGTGCAGAGTAAAGATCATATTCCCAGCTGGGCAGTGGCCAGTGCCTGATAATCCAGGAGAGGTGAAAGGCCTTGAAATACCCCAAGCACATTTATGTTATGTGTGTACATTAAAGACCACAGAAATACGGTATTTAGGTGCTTATACCTGAAATTACATTGTTTTAATGCTGACAGAAGTCCCTCTGTTCCATGAAGTACAAAATTTTGATTGCTTTTAGCATGCCAGTGTCAGCAACAGAGCAGGATTTGACAATCCAAAGTAGGGGGAGTCAGCAGGTTTTAATTTGAAGACATGGAAGGGTGCCAGAAGCACAGCTGCACTGCACAGAGTTGTGCAGGTTCTGAGATGGGAGCACAGCTGGGTAACACCAGGACAATCCTGAAGTTACCAGCCCTTCCTCTGACAGAGGTGGCTGTTGCTTTGTGCATTTCCAAGCCTGTGCTTTGATCTCCTGAAGAAGGAGGAAGCAGTAACATCTTCAGATCTCCTGACAGGAGGTGGCAGAGCTCTCAGAAGTCTGTGAAGAGAGGCTGAGAGGAGAGAAGATTCCAGGAAGACCTTATAACACCTTCCAGTACCTAAAGGGGGCTACAAGAGTTGTGGAGAGGGACTTTCAACAAATGCGTGTAGTGATAGGACAAGGGGGAATGGCTTTGAACTGAAAGAGGGTAGGTTTGGATTTAGATATTGGGAAGAAATTCTCTCCTGTGAGTGTGGCACTGGAACAGATTGCCCAGGGATGTTGTGGATGCCCCATCCCTGGAAGTGTTCAAGGCCAGGCTGGATGGGACCCTGAGCAACCAGGTCTAATGGAAAGTGTCCCTGCCCATGGCACAGGGGTTGGAAATAGATAGTCTTTAAGTTTCCTTTTAACCAAAAGCATTTTATTATTCAGGCAGAATCCTGGAGGTGGCAAAGGCCCCCTGCTCTGCTCTGCTCACTTGGCTTTGAGCCAGACAAGCATTTCATTGCTGTCCTCAGGCTACATGTGCTAGAGCATCCCTGAGGCTGCTGGAGGGTGGCACTGGAATTGAACTTGGTTACAGTGCAGTTCCACAGGGTGGCTGTGAACTGCTTTTTCCCAGTTAATCAGGGCCAAATCTACTGCTGAGTGTCCTTCCTTGGTAAAAACTTAATTTGTGTAATTCCCTAAATGTCTTGAGCAGAAAATTTCACTTCCCTGTTGCTAGCTTTTCCCAAATAAGCCCCATGCAGCTGGGGCACCACACCTTTATCGTATTTCAGGGTGAGGGGATGGGTCCGAAAAATAATATGATTGTTTTGGAACCTGGCACTTTGAAGCTAGAGAAACTTATCTTTTGCTTGGAGAAACCCTAGGATGTCTGTCAGTTAAGATCACATTTATTGTGTTTTTTCCAACTCTGACCCTATTAACTTTCCTTCTTAAATCATTGCTTTGCTGGAATCTGGCTGTTGCCACTCCTAGAATATTACAGTGGAAACTAGTATCTCTTTGATCTCCAGAAGTAAAAGGCAGCCTTACTTGTAGCATATTAAAGACTCTTTCTCCTTCTCCTTAATCTGTTGAGCCGTGCCCTGAAAATGAAAGATATTAGTGAGGTTTTTATCAGCTTTTGTACTCGAATTCAGTGCAGAAAGCACACGTAATAATAATAATGGCCAGTCTTCGCGAGCGAAGATCCGGGGGAGGTCTTTCCACCTTCCAGCCTGTGCATTGGATTTTTTAGGTGAGACACAGTGTGCGCGGAACTGAGCCCACCCTTTAATCCTAAGGTTCATCTGCCGGGGCCAAGCGAGCTTGGACGGTGGCAGCGAGGTCCTTAGGACGTAGGTGGGTTGCCTTTAAGGGCTAACGAGCCCCACCTGCCCGGGAGTGGCCCTGGCCGGGAATCAAACCCGGGTCTCCGCGGTGATAGCGCGGCGCCTTTACCACTAGACCACCAGGGGCTCCGCACATGTAGCATGTAGGGAAAGGGAAACCTGTTTGTTTAGGCCTTCTGCCATCCTGTGGAGATCTGTGGAAGGAGCTAATATGTGGGTGCTGTAATAACATTAAGCTGACGCCCATCTATTTTACACTCTTTGACAGGCTTTCAAAGTTGAGAATCGAATTGAAAATGAGTGTTAGATGCTGGATAGCTGTTTAGGAAGGGTCAGAAATCTGTCTGAAGGGAGATTGTCCTGTATAACTTTAAAAAATGACATTTAGGAGAGTTGTTGTCCTGCTGGAACACCGATCTGGATCATGTCAGAGCCTGGTTGCCAAAAGGAGACTAAAGGGTTTTGTAGTGACCTTGTTGTACAAATTCAGGAAGGAAATGGACGATGCTTAGTTGTTGATGGCCCTCCCTGGGCTCTTCACAGGAGGCTTTTTTTGCTTCCAGGCTCCCAAGGGCTTTCCAGGCGTTCAGCTCCTTGCGGGAGAAGTTCCCAGAGATCTCTGGGTACTGTCACTGTGTGGACAGCCTGGGGAGGGAGTTGGCAGACACTGGTAAGCATCTAATCCTTTAATTTGGGTGGTGTTGAATTCCCAAGGGAAAGGACAAATAACAAGTATCAGTATTCAGGTTCATTTGAAACTTCAATTTCATTCTTACAAGGGGTTAAGACCACTGTGACCACTGTAGTGACCAAGGGAAAGGCTGGAGCTCACTGATGAAATCCAACCCTTTGGAGCACCACTTCAGTCAGTATCAAGTGGAGTTGTTTCCTGGGAGCTAACTCTGCCCTTTTTGGGATGGTGGAATAGGATTTCTGAATGTCCATCCTCTGTCCAACTAGAAAGCTGCCTCATATTCAATATATCCAAATACAGGGGAATATTAAGGGCCTGGACAATGAACTCCTTCTTCTTGCTCAGGTAGAACCATGGAATGGTTTGGGTTGGAAGATACCTTTAAAGAACATCTAATCCAACCCCCTTAACCATTAGCAAGGACATCAGGTGGTTCTTCAGCTTCTCTCAGAGCCTCAGGATACCTTTTAGACATCTTAGTAGCTGATGGGACACTTCAGAAGAAAGTATGTTTTATTTTCAAGAAGGAGGAATTAGAAGGTTCAGAACCTCCTCAGATACTGTAGATTTTTTTTTTTTTTTTAAGGGGGAAAATGTAAAGCACAATAGTTTAAATAGATGAGAGACCAGAACTTCAACTTTTAATTCTCAGAAGGTATAGAAGTTCTCAAAAGATCTGTGCACTCGGGAAACGTACTGAACATCTTGGTTTTTAGTATGCAACCAAAACGACTGAGAATTGGTTTTGGTAACATCAGTTTCCAAAATTCCATCCTTGTCTTTACTGCAGACTGAACCTAACAAAACCACAGCAAACAGCCAGTTACAAGATGCTTCTCCTCCTTGTTTTAATAGATGTCAGGGCATACAGGTGGTGCCTGGGCACTCAGCACTGGGTGCATGGTGTGGTGCATTAGGGTTAGGCATTATAACTTCACATCTGGCCTGTTTAGAGGACTGGATTTCTTTTTCTTTATAGTCTCCCAGTTCTGCTACTCTGGTGGTATAAACCAGGTGACTTCTTGTCTTAAAACCAGGCTCTGTGCTAAAAGTCTGTCTTTCCCAGGCTTGGAGCTACTGCTTGATGAGGTTTACGACACAGTTTTCTCCGTGGCAGAGCCTGCCCGCAGGTTCTCGGAGACCAGCGTCTATCGGATCCTCCGGAGGCGGTTCCTGGCAGTGCAGCTGGCCACCTCTGGCAAGTTCAGGTGTAAGTAGCACCCAGGTGATGCCCTGTAAAAAAAAGGTGACAGTTTTAGAGCTTATGTGTGACAACTGCCATTGCGGAGGGTTGTTCCAGGAGTTTCTTGCTCTAAAGGCTTGTAACATCACAATTTCAGTGCAAGAAGCAAGGACCCTGAACTGCAGCTGGCTTTTATCCTCTGCACTTACCTTCTTACCTTGAGAAGTAAGGTAAGACAGGTAAGAATTAACTAAGCCACTTACTCTGCACTTAGATTCTTACCAGCTGATTGTACGTGTCCTCTGATCAGTGCTCTCCTGTGCACTTGAAGTTCACATCAGCTGAAATCCCATGAGCCCTCTGTATCTCTTGCCCTGAGATTATGGAGATGGATATGATGATTTATTAAATTAGAAGCCTGAGAATATGCTCCCTAATTTATGTTGGTACACTCAGAAACAGGAAGGATCTTGCACTGAACACAACACACTCCGTTCCCAGGAGGCCACACAAGAGTTTGTAGTGCCTTAGCCAGCAAGGCTGAACTTTTGGATCTGCCCTTGGACCCATTCCTTCCCTAGTCAGGGCAGGCACATGGGGAGAGTTTCTCTGCCTACAGGCAGTGAGCTCTGTGGGACAGGAGGTCAGGTATCTCCTCTTTACTGCATCAAAGCCTAAGAAAACTGCATTGGCCGAGCAAAGTTTGAAACCCCTGCATGATACTTCATCCTCCCAATAAAACTCCTCTGACATTACTCTCTGACCCTCACTAAGGAGTTGCATCACCAGACATACTAAGCAGATACTGATGTCAGTCTTCTGGCCACGTACTCAGACATTTTTCTGGTTTTGGGACAAGCTAATGATTCTGGGGAGTCTGGAAAGCATCTTCCTCCTCCCACTGCACAGTCATTTTGGCTTAGCTCTGGCTGTAGCTGGGGCTGCAGCAGCTGTCAGAACAGATGAAGCTGTAACAGCCACAAGATGGAGATGTGACCCTGTTCATCAGCCACCGAGGGGGTGCTCTGGTGACTTACCCAGCTCTTACACACCACCTGAAACCTCTTGCATTAGGAAACTTGTCAGACTCCTTGATGAGCAGGTTGCTCTGATATGATGCTCTCACTGCCTCAGACTGCTAACTGAGTGTGGCTGGAAAGCTCTTGAAAGTGAGAAATGTTTAGGCTGTAGAATTTCAGTTTAATATAAACAAGCAAAATTTCTGTTGGAAGATGACAGTCCTGTATTGGAGAGATCATACTGCAGAAAATTTGCTTTATGAATTTTTTGATGTCTCTGCCATTAAGGCCAGTTTGACAGTAATAGGGTCTTTATATCCCTGCAGAGGGAAATAAACAGATGGGATGGTCCCAACCCAAATCTCAAGGGTCAAGTGCAGATTTGTTTGCAGGAGCAATGCCTCATTCTCTTCAGAAACAAAATCAGAACAAAATCAGTCCCCCAAGCTGTGCATGTGTCTCTGTTGACCAAATTTGCTTTTGCCTTAAAGGCCAGAGCTGCCCCAGCCTCCAGCACAGCTCCCTGGGAGAGATGCTGCTGCTCTGCCTACCTGCAACTGTGGCTGAAAAATGTGTTGAGGTTTTATCTTCTGTTTAAGTTTTCAAAAATAAACACCTGCAGTAGAAAACCCCCGGGGCAAATTGTCCAGGGGGAAAAAGAAGATGGAGAAGTTGCATTTCTAACCGCTACTTGAGATATCACTGACAACAATCAAGAAATTAAATTTTTTTTTTTTCGTCCCAAATAGTCAAACAATGGGATCAAGCAGAGATGGCTCTGAAACTTTGGGCTGTCCCTGCTTAACTCACGCTGGTTTCCTTGCAGGCCCCTCGAGGTGCGAGGCTGAGCGTTTCACTGCCCTGCGCTACCAGCACCCCTTCGTGCCGTCCTGCGCCGCCGACGGGGGCTACGAGCCACTACAGTGCCAGCAGGGGGGACAGTGCTGGTGTGTGGACACCAAGGGCCAGGAGGTCCCAGGCACAAAGAGGCGAGGACAACCCCCGGCCTGTGGTAGGTGTGAGGTTGGGAAAAGGAGAAATGAGCCTGTCTCTTGGCGTCCTTGGGAAGAAACCCAAAGGACCGACTCCTTTCTCGGCTCTGATGCGTTTGGTGTTCAAAAACTGAGATCCTGAAACCTCCCTGGGGTTAAGAGTCACATTGTAATAAACTGTTAAATATCATATTCCTTTTATTTTCCTTTCTCTTTAGCCTTTTAGTTTTGCATTCAGCAAGGCTTCTCTTTGCAGCCCTGATATCTGTCTCTTGACTCCAGGAGCTGGGGCCTTAAGTTGGAATATCTGGGATAATATAAAGAAGCCAATGACAGTGGTTTTGGGTTTTACCTCTTTCCCTTGGTTAAATGCTGTGGAATTTCTAAGTCACCTCCCACCCTGAGCATTTTTTTCCCATCTCTGTCACTGCATATTTTGCCATGAAAACTGCCAAAGCCAGTAAAAAATACACCCAACAAACAATTCAGAAAAGGTGTATGGGTTTGGGCTTTGAGAGATTCCACAGAGAATACACTGTCAAATCAGTGCCCCAGATGGAAATGACAGCAAAAATGTCCAAGGGCTGGAGGGGAGGAGGAAAGTTAAAACCTCTCACTCTGAAGTGCACTACCTAAATATTCAGGATTGTGCTGGAGGTCTAGGGCACGGAGTCTTAATGCAGGGGCTGCCTTTGGGGAAAGTAAATTGCTCTGTCTGTGAGACACAGCCTTACCATGCAGCTAGAGAAGGAGGAATCTGCCCTAGGTGTCACAGATCCAAGTGCTCAGAGTGCTCTGGGCACAGACAGGCTTACTGTGAAATGAAAATGTTAGCCTGCCTCCGAGGCTGATCACCAAGGATATTGCAAGGGAACCTCTGAGGGGCCTCGCCATATGTTGGGACTGCTTGTTTTTCTCTTTGAATGTGCTTTGCTGAGCCCTCCTGATGATTTCTGTGGGAAGGCAGGGGAGGGGGGACAATGACTTGAGGCTGCTTGCAGCTTTTTTTGGCAGACTCAGGAAATTTCAGCAGGGAAAAATTTCTGCAGAGGTTTCACAGATTAACTCCTGAGAAGGTATTTTATGAGGATGTAGCTGCAGTCTATTTCAGACACCTACGTGCCACGTGTGTGTCTCCAGTTCAGCTCTGATTTATTTTGTGTTCAAAGAGCACGTGGATGTGGTACTTAGAGACATGGTTTCATTGTGGACCTGTGGGTTAGTGGTTGGATTCGATAATCTTACAGGTCTTTTCCAAGCTTAGTGATTCTTTGATTCTTTAGTGTCTTTGGCTCTCACACTTTGGTTCTCACAGTGAACACTGGAGGAGCCAGAGCTGTAGGTGTGGGCAGCATGTGGGGTACTCACTTCACCCAGGGCACCAGGCAGTCCTGATAAGGATCATGCTGCTTTTTAGACCTTTGACAGTAGATTCACCCCAGCAGTGCTTTTGTGTTTATTCTGTCTCCCTCTGCTTTGATTTGATTCAATAGTAGGTAGGAGGGGAGAGTGTTTATGAACCATGATCCCACATTTGTTTCGTATTACTGTTCTTGTGGAATTGTGGCTTGCACTAACTTATGGTCCTTGGAGGAATGTTCTCCATCCCTCTAACCACGAGCCAACACTGAAAACAGGAGGGGCCTATCCTACAGAAAATGTGTTTACAAAGAATCTGCTGGGAGAGACCCTGAGCCCCTGTCAGGAGCTGTGGAGCAGGATATGGTGCAAAAGGAGGAGTGAGAAAGATGTCAGTCTCAGAACGTCAGATTACTTGCTTATCTATTTTAGCAACTCTTTACATTTCTGTCTTTTATCCTTACTGTCAACAGGGCTTATGACTGCTTTATCAGATTATCTGGTCATGGAATAAATGGAGATGGAGTGGGGAGCCCAAGGGAGGCTGCAATGGAACAGACTAAAGATGTCTTGTCCCCTATAGGACAGCAGTGGTGCTCAGGGAGAAAGTGTGAGAAACATGGAAAATGCACAAAGCTTCCATATGTCCTTCTCCAGGCAGGGGAGGCCCAAACTGGAGGCTGAGCCCAGATCACTGTTCTCAGCCCTCTTGTATGGAGTTATCTTCCAGGGATTTGCCTAAGTGCCCTTTAACCTTTTATCCTTCCTAGCACTCTCTGGCAATAAATTTCATGATCATAATTACATGCTCCACTTCTGGACTTCTCTGTACTGCGAGAAATACTGAATAATTATTGTCTACTGTGAATGATGTGGAGAATCCTGTTTTTTAAAAACCTTTATCATTTTTTTTTTTTTTTTTTTTGGTCCAAGCTGAATGGTTTCTCCTAATGCAAAAGCTGTCCTGTCCTTAAAATATCTTTGCCTCCCTTCTCTATAGTTCTGCTACTTTTGCATCCCTTCTCTATAATTCTGCTACTTTTCAAGGAAAGGTAACTGTGTGCACAAGTCAAGCTGCTGCATGTGTTCCAGAGATCGAGTCAGTGCCATAACCATCCTGTTGGATTCTCAGTGTCTTTATATTTACCAAGTCTTTCCTTTTTTGTTGACTTTCTAGCCTTTAGCTTAGTCCTTCTTCAGTGATGTGTTGCATCCTAACTTGGAGCCATTGCTGCCTGTGTATGAATCTACAGATGGGGTTGGATGCAGCTACACCTGTGACAGAGCTTAGCTCAGGATATGGGTCTCCAGGGCCACTGTTGATACCCTCAATACCTTGATATTTGGCTACTTTTGTTGAAATCTTGTATTTTTTTCCCTGAGAGCCTGTTTGTGAATGCCACGCTCCTTAGCACTCTATTACTGCTCATTTTAACAATTTCTTTTCAAACTTCTTGTAGTGAACACCTCACTATGAAACTGAAGATCTAGTTAGGAAACCTCCATAAATTCCTCCTTAGGGGGCATTGGGTCAAAAAAACTTTCTGTTCTTCTGCAGAAAGTTTCTCTTTCCTAGGTTCACTTACTGCACCTGGATCATCAGAGGTTTCCATTAGCAGCAGGCATCCTAACAGGGAGTTACAGTATTTGGAAAAGACTTTGTTCTTTCCATAGGAATGGGAATGGGAATGAGGATTTAAATTGGGAAGCAACAGAACCCACAGAGCAGAGAACTCGGACGTGGGGAAGGAATGATTCCTTTCATTTTGTGTCTTGACTGGAGGATTTTATTTACATAGCATATGAAATAACAGTTCAAATTTCCATATCAATGTGCACAATGCATAGTTGAGAAACAGGTTAATGTACACGTCTGGGTTGTTTCTGCCCCAGCTGCTTGAAATAGAGTGGTAAGTGTGGGAGATTCCAAATTTTGCATATTTTTTTTCTTAAATCTCTGTCTAGGTGAAGAACAAGGGTGCATCTCTGAGAGGCGGCGGGCCTTGATGAGGCTCTTTTATGGCCCTGCTGGGTACTTCAGTCAGTCCAGTTTGTTCTCCACTCCAGATAAGCAGACGGAAAAAACAGCTGGCTTTTCAAGACCCTGCCCTCCTTCCTTCAAGGAGCTGTTTCTGGACTCTGGATTGTCATCCCCAGTTGCACAAAGCCCATATTTCAGCCAGACTTCTGGATTAGAAACTACCCTTAGTGAAGCCATCTCAGGGATGTTCCCGTCAAGGGAGCTGGCTCAAGTGGCACTGCAATTTACCGCCAATCCAAAGCGTTTCCAAGAAAATCTCTTTGGAGGGAGGTTCTTGAAGAATTTGATCCAGTTTAACTTCACAGGGGCACTTGGCACTAGTGGGAAATACAGCATTGGCCAGTTTTTCCAACAGGAGGATGTGTCAGAGAGGAATAACAGCCAAAGCCCTCTGGAATCAGCTGAGGCATTTTCACTGGAGGTATCAAAGGGGAGTTCCATTTTGAGTAAACCTCTTGTAGGCAGCTTTGGCCGCACAGTAACTCTACAGGACAATCAGAACATGGTGAAATTCCTTTCCTCTGTTCTGGAACTACCAGAGTTCTTTACTTTTCTTCAACAAGTGATTTCTGTCCCCAAAAACGTTGCTGAAGATTTAGGTGAAGTGGTGAAACTAGCATTGGGATCCAGAGACTGTGGTGAGGAGCCAAGGGATCTGTTTGTTCCAACGTGCACCGAGGAGGGGAGGTATGAAGAAGTTCAGTGCTATGCAGGAGAGTGCTGGTGCTTGGACACTTCAGGTAAGGAAATTCCAGGCTCAAGACTTCAAGGCAAATGTCCAAGGTGTCCCACTGATTGTGAGAAGCAAAGGAGAAACCTGCAAAACCTGAAACAAAGTCTGCCTGCGGGATCAGACCTTTTTATTCCCTCTTGTACCGAGGATGGAGACTTTCTACCACTCCAGTGTTATGGGACAAATTGCTTCTGTGTTGATTTGAATGGCAAGACTGTTCCAGGAATAAAGGGAAAAGCTGGAAAACCAATGCAGTGTAAGTCTTGGGGGCTGGGAATTTAAAGTTGCTTTCTTTTGTGTTGCAATTTCATGATTCTTTCTTCATATCTGATTATATCTGATAATTAATGGATGATGAATACAAATGATGCTGTCTCCTAACAGGAAAGCAAGTCAGCTTTGCAGTGGCAGGGTAGTAGTGGGAAATACAGTGTTGTTCAAACAAAAGAGAGGGATTCAATGGCCATAGATTTCTCTTAAGGGTCATGCAGTCAGGCCAGAAAAGCGAGTTGCAAATGACTACTCAGACATCAATTTGACAACTCGCTTACAGACTGTGAATTGCCTCTTCTTGCCCTTCTATTAATGGAGTACAAAGGAAGAAGGAAGCACATGGGCTGGGGATACTTGCCTTTCAAGTTTCTGTGAACTGAGAATGGCACATCAACAGGTATAACAGACCAAAAGAAGAGCCTGCTTCTCCTTTTGGGAGGAATAGCAGAGTATCCAGAGAGTGGTATGTAGTGAGGGAGCTCCTTGGAATCACAGTTTGCAGAAGTAGTAGGGAGTTTATCACGATGATCTGAATTGGGATGGGATTTCTCTCTAGCAACCCATCTGTGCAACCAAAAATAAACAGGTTCAGAATTCTCTGATGCTCAAAAGAAGATGATCTCCTGTGCGTTGCTGGGTTTGTAGAGCTCCTTGGTGGCCAAGTTGAAATTTGGCTCTGGAGATGGCAGAAAAGGCTTCCAAATCTAACTCACTTCAGTTTTCTGAGGAATGGTATTTTTATATTCAGCAGCAGTGTTCAGTAGAGAATGGCAAGAGAGGACAAACAATCTTAAAATTCTGGTTAGGTTCAAGGGGAAATAAAATCAGTATTATCCTCCAATTCAGATGGCTGTTTTTGCAGGGATTGGCTGAATAAGAAGCAACTCCCAGATTACCAAACGTATCTGAAAATACCTGGTTGGTGTACACAGATCCAAGAAGGCATTTAGTGGCACCAAGCACCTAACCCCTCAGTAAGAACTACAAGCACCTAATGTACTCACATATTTTTAAAGATCATATCTCTATGCATCTTTCAGGGCTCATGTCCCTTTGGAAATCTTACCCTGGTTCACCATGGGACCTTAATATCATCAAGCTCTCCTAGTAACAGGCCAGAAATGTTGTTGTTAGTGTTGGGATGAGTATTTGGGATGACCAAGTTTTAGTAGTAGTGTTTATTGTAACAGAGGGGCAGGGGTACTGTATATCTTCAGAGCATTCATAAGATGTACTCTGTATTTGTTTTTTCTTTTCCCCAGGCCCGAGTGCTTGCCAAGTAACAGCTGGTCAGGAGTTTCTAAAGGCTGTGAAGCTGCTGTTGTCAGAGCCGAGCGCTGTGTCTCAGCTGTCCAGCATTTACCTCCCACAGTGTGATGCAGAGGGCGCCTGGAGGCAGGTGCAGTGCAGTGGCCCTCCCGAGCAGGCCTTCGAGTGGTACGAAAGGTGGATTGCAGAGAACAACGAGGGCAAACCCCTGCCCATTGCTGATCTGTTGAGCATCATAGCTGGATATAAAGAGGCATCATCTAAAGGCTTTTCAGCTTTTGTTCAAGCTTTGTATGAGGCTGAGCACCAGAATGTCTTTCCCGCATTTGCCATGTACTCCTCCTTCACGGATCTCCCACCTGAAGTGCTGGAGGGAAACTTGACCGTGGCATCTCAGAACATTTTGCTGGATCCATATATTTTCTGGCAGCTTCTGAATGAGCAGCTGACATATTACCCAGGACCCTATACTGATTTCAGTGCTCCATTAGGCCACTTTGAACTTCGTGATTGCTGGTGTGTTGATAGCAAAGGAGAAGAGCTGCAAGGAACAAAGGCAGGAGTGAATCAGGTTCCTGCATGTAAGTAACAATTTCTGGCACGTAAGTAGTACCGTTTCTGGTCTTTTATGTCATGAGAGAGGGAAGTCCTTTTAATTGTTGTGAAGTAGCAGACAGTAACTTGTCAGAAAGGTCATCAGTACTGACATTATTGCTGGTCATCAGAGATGGGGTAACTCATTTCTGGTAAATAAGTGGTGCCTCAGCTTTGGGAATAAGTAGGAATAAAGTTGCATTTCAAGCTTGTGTAGATTTTATAATTTGGAGTTTGGACATATAATGCTTTTGCAGAAGATACTTAGCCAGATGGCAAAGGACACTTTGAAGTTAGGAAGTGTGAAGAGTTGTATGGAAAATTCAGGATTACACAGTGATGTAAATGACTTTCAAGAATGCCTTCAAATGAAGCAAGAGGGATTTTCTTTACTGATTCATACTATGTGGTCAAGACTAACAGATATCTCCTCGAAGTCACTAGGAAAAGAGTGAGGCCAGCACTGAAGTTTGGTGATCCTCTGTCCCATTAAAGCTGCTGGGCCCTCTTTGGGGTTACTTCAGTAAATGACCTATATTATAAATGTCATCACTCAAATCATTCTCATCACGTAGTATTTTTCCAGCTGTGAAGAAGAGACAGAACAATGAATGGCAAACTACCAGAGATTCCAGTTCTGTGGGCAGGTGGAGAATAAAGGGGATGAAGCAGATTATCAGAGTCATTTTGGAGGAGCAGCTTTCATGGAGCTGGTTCAGTGTGTTGAGATACCCTTTCTGAGTTAGTAGATGTATGGAGAGGACAGGCCAAGTGTCAGCTGCTAAGCTGAACCCAAGGGATATATCTTCATTTTCCTTTCTGACTCTCACTTCTGATCATCCACAGTTTTTTATGGCAGCAACTGAAGGAATGCTTTGTGGAGACATATTAAGTCTGTTTGTAACCAGTGAGGACTTAATTTAAAATCATCAACCATTTGCCCCATGACTTGAAGAATGTTTGGGCGATTCCTGGTACTCTCAGACTCTTGCTGTTAAATAGCTAAACATTTAACAAGACCAGTCCCCTTCACTTGCTTCATTATGCAACTCAAAACTGTGTTAGTGCAGAAGGAAGCAGACCATGCTAATTGAAATACCAGCTAGTTTTCACGTGAAAACCTTTACTGGATTTAGATGAAAGTTGTTAATATACCTTTGCTTCTGCAGGTCCTGGTATATGTGAAGGTGTGAGGCAGAAAGCCATGAAATTTATGGAGGAGGCAGAGCAGCTCATCTTAGCCTCAAATGAGTCCCGCTTTGCTTTTGGAGAGAGCTTCTTGATGGCAAAAGGGATACAACTCACAGACAGGGACCTCCTGCGCTCTGCTCGGCCCTATGAGCCACAGGCACTGATCTCCCAAAAGCTGCTCTCAGGCAGTGACTCTGCTCTCCAGCTGGCTGCCTGGTCAGGTGGGTGAAAGGGAGATGAGAGCTCAGATAAATGGAGTCGTGCCCAGGATCTGTGCAAGAGTACTTGGTGTCAAGTGCAACTTTGCTGAAAAGGAGGTGCCGCTCAGCAGATGTAATTAATCAGTGTCATTAACCTGCCAGCCCAAGAGCTGATTTCAGTTGTCTCATACATATGACACACTGCAGATATAAAATCTAGGCACTTACCAGCCTTTATGTACTTGCAAAATTATTAATTTGTCTTCTGAAGTACAGAGGACATTCAGTGTTTTTGCAAATGCATTTGAAATATCCTCTATTGGCCACTAAGAGCTTTCTTTTACTTCTCTTTTATAGTCCTGCACTTCTATTGGCAGACTCACTTTTCTTCAAAAGGTTCTGCTGGGGAAGCAGCACAGCTGGGATTTCTCCCTTACATCCCACAGTGTGATGGCCTGGGAAACTGGGAGCCAACTCAGTGCTATGAGAGCACAGGTGAGCAATTCCTAACAAGATACTCTGGGATGGATGAACAAATCAAAACTAAGAAAAATTCTAATAAAAAGATAGAAAACCAGGATTCTTGTAGTCAAGCTGGAGAAAGGTGATTTGGTCTACAAGATGTGTGGAAAACTGACTGGAGTGAGGGACTCATGTGGCAGCTCATTGGGGCACAAAAATTAGTAGATATTCAGTTGTGTGCTGCTAGTTGTGTTCCTTGGGGCTCATTCCAGGGGCTGGTAGTGCTTAGTAGCTTCATTCATGACCAGGATCATGAGATGGAGTGCATCCTCATCCAGTTTGTGGATGATGCCAAATTTCTGGGAGTAGATGGTATGCTGCAGGATAGGGCTGCAAAGGGGAAGTCTCACCAGAGCTGCTACATTTTCATTCTCACCACCGCTCTCAGGTGTGGTCTACTGATCCCTGGATAGCAGAGTTAACTGTGACTTTGATTTACTGGGCCCTTTCTATAGTTCTGCTGAGGCTGAAAATCTTAGCAGTATGCAACAAAGCACACTGCAATACATCATTTATAAATAAAACTGCTCTTCTTCCCTGGCCAGGTCATTGCTGGTGCGTGGATGAGAGAGGACGTTATGTCATGGATTCCTTGGTCTCACGCTCAGCAGAACTTCCCAAATGTCAGTTGGTTTTTCTTCCTAAATATTTGTCTTTTCTTGTTCTTGTGAATTTTAATATATATTGAAAATTCTAGTATGATATGCATGAAGTAAGGCTTGCTTCTAACTACTGCAAGGAAAGAGAAAGGGATGTTATGCTTATTTTGCTAATTCATTTCGTTTAATTAAGTGTGATTTTGGCTTGCATGATTTGAGAGTGGACGCTCTACTGTTGGTGACCCTGCCTGAGCAGGGGCATTGGACCAGCTGTCCAACCAGATATCTCCAGATGTCCCTTCCAACCTCAGCCATTCTGTGGTTGTCAAACACTGATCAGGAATTCCCTGCCTGGAGCCTATTGCAGATGTGTGAAGGAGATGGTGATGTAAATGTAAATGTATGTTTTCCCTCTCACAGGCCAGACTTCATGCCAGCGATCTCAAACCAATGCATTAATTTCCAGCTGGAGACAGAGTGGCTCAAACCTGGATGTGTCTGCAGCTGATCTGTTCATCCCCGCCTGCCTTGAGGTGATTTAACATGACTGAGGGAGGAAGCAGGTTGGCTCACACCATGCCAAAGTCCTGTACACTTTCAGCCCATGATCCTTAAGCATCCCCTTGTGCATTTATTAACCTGAAAGAAAAGGGTAAGGCGAAACCAACAGCAGGCGTTGCACTGCAGAAAGCAGAACTTAAATAGTTCTGAGGTGAAGACTGGGAAGAGGAAGCTCTGTCCCTGCCCACGATTCCCTCCCACAGGCTGGCTGTGCCTGGTGCTTTTGCAGAGCTGTGCTTGAAAGGCACACCTTAATTGACTGACATTTGGGGGCTCTTTCTTCCTGAGCTGTGAGAGAATGACAGGAGAGCTGGGTGCAGATATCTCAGAGTAGGGTCCATGATGCTCTCAAAATGTGGCAGTCAGCAGGATAGAGGTGGGCAAGGAATAGACATTTCATGTAATAGAACCATTATCATATACAATCATGTAATCATTTAGGTTGGAAGACCACAAAGATCATCAAGCCCAACTGTTACCCCAGTATTGTGGAGTCTACCACTAAACCAGATCTTTAAGCATCACATGTACATGTTTTTTAAACATATTTCAATCCAGGATTTTACCAGAACTTTATCTCAATGGGACTTCAGTTTGCATCCTATTTAATGTTTGGACTCGATGATCTTAGAGGTCTTTTCCAACTTAAATGATCCTTGGTTCTCTCAGGGACTTGCCTGTGTATAAAATTAGATAGATTGTACTTTGTGGTTTTTTTCAATGTGTTATATTAATGGACAAATTAACACAATAAAAATACAAAAAAATAAATACAATAAAATAATGTAAATAAATAAAACATTTCAACCAAACTTTGGGGTTTGGATTGAGGCATTTCTGTTATTAAAACACATTGCTCTGCAATGACATGTCCTTAATTTTGTTTTTAAGACAGGAGAATACTCTATGCTACAGAGATCCGACACAGGTATTTGGTGTGTGGATCCTGCGTCAGGAGAAGTATTTCAGCGTGGCAGCAAGGCCTTGGATGGCAATCCCGAGTGTGAGTAATGCTTTACCCACCAGCTGAGGTGCTTGTGGAGATGCCTCATGCTTAGCAGCATATGTGCCTCCCTTCTCAGAACGCTGCCTGTGAAACTTGGGAGGTTTGTAGGTTAATTCCTCAGTGATACACTGAAAGCAAGCACATCAACACTGAAAGGGTGTCTGAAAATAATTACCCCTTGCTTTCATAACACCAAAAATAAACTAGTTTAGACAAACTGATTGAAAGGCTGCTATCCATTTTTTTTAACTTCCATTTCTTACCACCGTAGAAAATATTAAGAGTTTTCTAAGGCAGTGAATTCTGAACTGTGGGAGCTGGGCCACATGCAGACACTGAGACCATTTGGCATGGTCCTCCACCACTTTATGGAATTAGACCTTTAATACCTTTATATTGTCTTCCAATAAAGACAGAGAACTGTTGAAGTCTCATAGGAGATGGTTGATTCAAGAAGTTAAAGAATTGCTGTTTGCATGAATTGGGATGCTCTGCTCTCCTGAACAGTACAGGCAGCCCAAGAGCCCACAGTTCTCTCGTGCTTGTTCTGCAGTTCTTTAGCTACTGGTTTTCTGCAAACGAAATTAGTAAGAACAATACTGTCTCAAGTTCAGATTGAACTTTTTGGATCTTCTTGTCAGGGGGTGGTTCTGCTTGCTCGTGTCCCTGTTTTATGTGAGACCATAAATATTGGTTTTTCATGGCTATTTCCCCCCCCCAGCTTTCTAGGTATGAAACTAGGACATATTAACTATTTTAAAATGTAAATGATCATATTATTAAATTTAAGATTACCTTGATCAAAATTTTTTGCTAAAAAGTTTAATTTGATTTTTTAAGCCTTTTAAAATCAGTATCTAAACGATACACTATCAAATTTATGAAAAAAAAAAACCACCAGAATGTTTCAGTTACTTTGTTTATGTAAACCCATATAACTTACACTTTATTCTTTAGAAAAAAAAAAAGTGAGTTTTTTATGGTGGAAGTAAAATTTCCCATTTCTATAATAATTAAAATTATTTATAGTTTCATGATCATTCATCTTCCTTCCTTCTGACAAAACAGTCTGACAGCACTGTTCAGGACAATTTATTGTCTCCTACTCTGTGTCTTGCAATGAATTTCTCTCTTTAAAGGTCCCAGTTACTGTAATGTGCTGAAGTCTAAAACTGTTTCACGAGATGCTGCCAAAGGGTACATCCCCCAGTGTGAGGGGGAGGACGAGAGTTTCTCGCCTGTGCAGTGCAGCCAGGACCAGGAGAGCTGCTGGTGTGTCTTTGGCAACGGAGAGGAGGTGCCAGGGACACGAGTGAGCGGAGGGAGACCAGCATGTGCAAGTGAGTTCCTGCTTGAGGCACATGAGCGAATCCAGGTCTGGAACTGGACCCAGATCCTAAATTTTCCCACTCTTTGGTTGTATCTAATCTTATTTCTTCAGACATGTAGAGACTTTTGCTCAAGCAAAATGTTTATCTTTGCCTGGGCACGATGTCCAGTTTTCTTCAAGGGCTTTGTCAGGGAAATATGAGAAGGGAATGGATCTTTGACTTTTTCTTATTCATAAAATTGATTGAATCAAACCAGTTGATTTATAAAACCCAGCTATAAAGTCAATCTGAACAGCTTGCTGCAAACTTGAACCTGTTCCAGTCTGAGCTGGCTCTGGGATTAAAAACCATTCAGCTGACTAAAATAAAATTTGAAAAATGTATGCTTCTGCCATTCCAGCTCTTGGCTTGTGATCAGAACTGTGAAAAGGATGTGCCAAAACACTGCATATTCACAGAGTATTTCCTGCATGACCAGAGCTGTGTAGCACTGATACTCACTCATGGTTTCCAGTGAGATGTCCAAATGGGAGGCATTTGAATAAATTTAATTTACAGTGGCCTTTATACATCTTCCCATCACTGAAGTGTAGCAAAATTAATTAAACTTTCTACAAGGCTATGCTCCAAAGTGTAATGATTAGTGGAAACTAATGTAAAAAGATGCAAAAAGGAAACCTTCAACTGGTGTCTTCAGGACACTGCTGTTTCCATAGTTCATTTGTTGGTGGGATTTCTTTTCATTTGTTTGGTTCGGTTTGGCATTTTTTGACAAAAATTTAGGGAAAGGAGACCACACGATAAGAAATTATTTCAGTTTCCTATAGTGATTCTGATATATAAAGAGCAACACGTGCTCATTCTCACCAAGCAAACAGTACATGTGGCTCATGGGGACATGGTTCAGTGGTGGACTTGGCAGTGCTGGTTAATGGCTGGACTCAATGATCTTACAAGTCTTTTCCAACCTTAATGATTCTACAGTTCTATGATACAAATGCCTGATTGTGTCTACCCAGCTGCCTGTAAGGTGTTTTAATCAACTAGGCAGCTGCTCAGCCAACTTGGAAACCACCACCAATTTAATTTTCTTTCAACTCTCTTGCATCAATAGAGAGTTAGGAGGATGGGATTTTATGAGTGGCCAGAAGGAGACCCCATGGTTGTATCTGCCCATGCTGGTGGTGATGTGTGGAGATGCCCAAGCAAGCTCTGAGGAGATGAGCTCCAGAGAAAACTCAGAACTAGTTGTAAATGTTAAGTCCTTGATAACTCCTTCTCTTCATGAAAGTTCGTTTTCTAGATTTCCCCCTGAATTCCAGCAGAATTTAGGGAATATGTTCTAAGAAAAGTGTAAGTGTACCTCAAGATATGCCTTTAAGACGATTTCACATTTTGGGTGCATATCTGTTGTTTTTGGGATCCTGTAATGCTGTACTTTTCCTAGAGGAAACACTGACTGAATGATTAATGACCTTTCTTTTTTCAAAGACTGAGCTGAGAGGGAGAACTTCTTTGAAAATATAGTGGAAACCTGGCTTAACTGAAAGCTATTTGTTACACTCTGCATAGAGATTGAAACAGTCTTTAATGATTTTCCTGGATTTTGAAATAACAATGGAACTTTTCATGATAAACAACTTAGTAATTGTGTAAAAATAAAGAAGAAGAAGTTTCTTTTCTCCTCTGTCTATCCAGCCTTATACCTCTAGTCCTAGGAATTACTAACAATCATTCAGGAAAAAGGAGTACTGTCTCACTACTTGTCTGTGAGCAAAAGAAGCTGTTTTGGAGGGAATATATTATAAACTTCTTCTTCAGCATCAGAACAGACAGCTGTAAACAGAAAGCAATAATTCACAGTGCCCAGTGCATGCAAGTTTTTCATTAGTTTAATCATTTCCATCAGAGGTAGATTCCAACTTCTAGTTGACATGCACTGGAGAGATGATGCCAAGTATCCCTGCAGTCCTCACAGGCATCTGCCATCCTGATGCCACTGCCCACAACTCTGAGTAGAGATAGAGGAGAGAAAGATTTCCAGAGAAGGACCCTGGAGGTTTTAATTTCCTTGTGGAAATCTTTAGAACCACCTGTGAAAGAGGTGTCAGTATTCAACTGGATCATGATTCACTCCTACAGGACCAAGAAACAGAAGAATGGCAAAATAGTGCAGGCTTGATAACAGTAGTAAATGAAGTGACATCTGTAGAGGGATAAATGAGCAAATTATTGGTGGTGAGCTGAAACATCTGAACCACACCAGGAAGCCATTGATCTCTTGGGCTTTGAGGAGTGGTTATTTCCCTGGTTCATAAGACAAATCTCATTGAAATAAGCAGTAAAAGACTGGTGGAAGCATACAGCTGAGACTGGATATGACTTGCTGGATGTAAAAATGTGTTAGAGCAATTAAGAAACCACAGGTTGGTTTTTACATACTTTGTATAAAGAGATATTAATGCAATTAACACATGACTGTGGATGTAGTTTAAATGGTCAGGATAAGTATTACTGTCTCTTTTACAGCGATATCTTTTTGGTCCTAAAATTTTGGGAGGTTTATTAAAAGTTTGTTAAGCAAGGATGCCAGGTTTCCACCTCTACTGAGAAAGAGAGTCTGGCTACAGAGTCAATGAGTGAAGAGAAGGAATGTACTGGCCCCATTAACACAGTTCTTGCAGAGAACATGCTATAAAGGAGACTTAGAAAAAAATGCATTTGGAAATTCAGCAAGACAGATATGAGAGCCTTTTATTTTGTCATTGAAATACACAGGATTGGAAAACAAGGATATACTGCACACACTGAATCCCAGATTCATCCTGCATTGCTTTAAACTTTAACCGAGGTGGCTGCTAAGTTATGGAATTAATCTTCATATCTCCAACAGAAGGGAAGAGGAAGGCTCAGACCTGAACTATCATCAGTGTTTGCCTCCCTCCAGTGATTAGGGATTTTGGGGCTGATCTGAGCACTGCAATTTGGAAAATGGTGTATGTATACACCAAGGAAGTGAATTGCATGATAATATCTTTTTCTTTATATTTATTTCTAAGCATGGAAGTTCTTTATTCTTCCTATGTTTTGTAGCTCTGGAACTCAGAAATGTTTAATTATTATCATATATTTAGTAGCTCGGTTGGGATTTGGATAATACTGAGTGAAGCAGTTGGTTTGTACTGATTTGTAGAAATTAATTATCATTGTAGTTAACCTGCTAAAATAGTCTGTCACAGTGGGGTAGCATGGTTGGAATGACTGTACTGATGCAGAGTGAGTTGATAGGAAAAACTGTGCTCCAATTCCAAAGCTGTATACTACTATTTCTATATGTATTTACTGTATATGCTGATCTCCTGGGTCACTAGAAACATCCTGGTGCTCTTGAAGGCACCACAGTCATGAGCTCCTGATCTTAAAAGTTTTCAGACTTTAGTCTAAAGGGAATTCTGATAAGGTTTTTTGGCCCTGCCTGTTTCCAGTAGATATCTTTTGTAAAGGTTTGTTCTGCTGATGGTTGGAAATCTCCTTCTCATTTCCTGCTTAAATTTATTCATGGCTGTTTAAAATGTATCTGTTCTTAGAAACCATACACATACCTTTCTGGATCCAATGCATTACCCATCAAAGCCAATAATGTGCCTTTTGCTCAGCTTCAGTAAACTGAACCATACTGACATCAAACCAGGTCCAAGCTGTTAAGTGGGAAATGCAGAGAGTGCTGTCTATGTTTTCCCTGTTGATATGAAGGGTTTATGGACTTTTTACTACAAGTCATCATATTATGCCACTAATACATATCCCCTTTCTCACATGAAGGTCCGCTGTGTGCTCTGCCCTTCGGTGCCTCATCTGTTCCCAACGGAGCTGTATTTTGTGAAAATGTTTCTGGACAAGCTCCAGGAGTCCAGCAGTGCCAGCTGTTGTGTCGTCAGGGCTTCCACAGCGCCTCTTCCAGCACCTCCTTCCAGTGTGACGTGCAGCAGCGGCGGTGGGTCCAGGCTGCCCCGCTCCTCCAGGCCTGCCAGAGTATGTCACAGCTGCTGGGGGTTGGGAAGGGCTCAGAGCAGGGTAAACAGATGCACAAAAATCAGCTTTCATCAGAAAGCTGCTGTGTGAATGACAATAATAGGGCATAACAGTTATAAGGGAGTTGCTAAATTGAGGTGAAGTAGTTTGGTCCTGTCTTCTGCCATCCTCACCTCTGGCTCTTGGCTGGCCCCTATACCAGAAACAGCCCTGCTTGCCTGCAATAATATAGCTATAAATAGCTATTCAATCTATTTGCAGATTTTTCTTTGTTAGTTAAAAGATGCTGGTACCATAAGTAATTCTGATGGAACTACTTAGTCCTGAAAGAACAGATGAGGGCCAGATGTTTGAATTTGGCAGAACTTGACTGTTTATTTGTATAATCAAGTCACTGTTACTTTTGCATCTTTTTTTGCAGCAGCCTGTTCTTTAAGATTATTGTTGTCTTTGTTGACTGACTTCTGGTATTTTTTGAACCATTTTGCTTTCAAGAAAAAAATATCACTTTAATTCTTGGAAGAATTCGTTGTGTATTCAGAACTCATTTACTTGGATACTAATGTTGGCCTTTTCAATTATTTCAAATAGAGATATTTTCTGATCAAAATGGCAATTTATAGCAGTGCTGGACTTTGAGAAATGCAGGTTTTGGTGTCTAGTTTCCAGCTACTTTTCATTTTCAAAATAGGTTAAACACATTAATCAATCTCTAGAATGAATTAAACTCATTCTGGGACTCACATTTCCAATTGTATGCAGGTCTTCTATTCCAAATGCAAATGTTTTTAAACTTTAAATTTCAGACTGAGACTTTTGTCTGTGATTGTGTTTGTTAGGTTTTTTAGCATGCTATGAAATAACTTCTATGTTTGCTCATGGCAGTTGAATAACTTTGTAAGGACAGAGGGGAGTATGTGACAATCTGCTATAAAGTTTAATGTAAGTCGAGGACTTGCCCCAACAATTTGTGTTTGAAATAGGGTATAGTTTTAAGGAGAGAGAAAAAATTCCCAACACATCAGAAGGTGACTGAATTAACTTCACAGTAATGGAGAATTCACCAAAACAGTTAGTAATTTGTTCCAATGGATAATTATCCACATCTAGAGATTGTGATTTTTCTGTCCTCTGGTCCCTCCCATCATTCTCCTTGGAAGCTCTCCAGGCTTTCCCACACTCGTTTTTGGTGTGAGAGATTGGGAATTTTGCTCCAGCAGTGACACTTGTATGTGATGCAGTGAGAGTCTGTAGAGGAGGTGAATGAGGGAGAGCTTTGCTGCTTGTCCAGGCTGGTGGGATAAGAGCCAGCTCCCTTCAGAGGTGCAGTGACAGCAGGACAGTTGTGCTGAATCTGAGATAACAAACCCTCCATGAAGCCTGGGATTGTGTTACTCCAGGGAAGATAAGAAATGTGCATCTCTTTTGTATATTGCTAAAAACTGACTAAATAGATTTTCATTTTGTGACTGATGAGCTCACAGATTTCTCATCGATTTGTGTGATTTGCAACATTTTGGTTGGCTCTTCTTAGACATCCATGTCCATGCCATTACTATGCAATCAATTCTCTCCTAAAACTTATTCCCAGTTAGTTTGACAGGCAAAACCCCATTGGAATTAGTAATAATTGCTTTCACCATTTAATTACTTTTTTAATATGAGTGTTTTCATGATTGTGTGTAAGAGAAGTGAAAGTTGACAGGCCAGTAACTCTTGTCTTCCTGTTTCTTTTCTAAGTATTGGCATAATGTCAAATTTAATGTAGTTCTCTGGAAATTCCTATATGCTAAGGATTGTGAAAAATCATTAATGATCCAGATTGTTCCTTATCCTTCTGTGAATTAGAGCTCCAGTGTAAAACATCTCTTTATTATTATATAACTGGGTAGCCTGGCTTTTTCCCTAATGCACAACATGTATATTTTTCAAGCTTGTCTCTTGCTACTTATTATTAACTGCTGACAGCTCTACTGCTTTCACCTAAAAGTGGAAAGATACTATTGATACAACATGAGAATGTAAAATCAATGTTGTCTTTTCTCAAAGTAACGCTGCAAGTCAGGTTCTTCATTAGTGAGGTTACTAAATGCCCTTTCTACTTAATTTTTAGAGCTCCAACTATTTCAGACAGTCCAAGCTCAAACACACTTCCAGCTACTCCTGCCTCCTGAGAAGACATGTAGTTCTGACTACTCTGGATTACTCCAGGCATTCCAGATATTTATTTTAGATGAGTTGAAGGCTCGTGGTTTATGTCACCTCCAGGTAATTTAAATTTCTTATTCTCTGTTGGTGTTAGGGTTTTGTTATTGTTGTTTGTTTGTTTGTTTTTGTTTTCTTTGGTTGGGTTTTTAATATTAAAAAAAAAAGGAAACACAACATAGACCTTTGCCCACCTGAGAGAGGTGGAAGAACAAAATGTGCCATGAATTATGTCAGGATTGGCAGCACTCTCATATAGATGAGTGGGAAAATAGGAGTTTTAGTCTCACTGACACCACATCAGCAGATCAGCTTAGTTGTAGCCATAGAAGTCATACCACATCAATCCAATATTTATTAAAAATTTGTTTCAATGGAAGAGAATATTTTGACTGTTCTTACAGTGAGTAAATGACTTGCTAAAATTATATTTCCTTGCATATCTGTTTTTACAGTCCCTTATGTAAATGTTACATCTGAGCATAGTATACTGCAAATGGATAGGGCAAGGCCAGAACCAGAAAGTTCTCAGGTTGGCTAACTGTGGTTTCATTTGATTGTGAATTTGAGGTAAATGCATTTGGGAGTACTGGCTCAGTTTCTGTCTGTGATGATTCCACTGTCTATGTTGAATGCCTGAGCACGGACCGCCTGGGAGTGAATGTCACGTGGAGGACTCAGCTGGAAAACATCCCGACAGCTTCTCTCCCTGACTTACATGATATTGGTAAGTTTTTCTTCCTCTGATATGTCTGTGGATTAAACCTGATTTGCTTTTAGTTGTTTTGCTTCCCTGTGTCTGCTCTTAGGAGGCACTAACAAGGGATTATAAATGCTCACTGCCTTTATAACACTGGTGTTGTATTTTTGAGATTTTGGTGTTGATGTATTTCTCCTTTCAGGCTGTGACCACATAGTGGAAAGGAGCCATAATTTAATGTTTTTTTCAGATAGCAGTGCCTCTCCCAGCTGCCTTAACTGGGACTGAAAATTACTTTATTGGGCATGAGCTGAAGTGTCCCAGATGTTAAATTTCCATCGGTCAAGTCCCTGGTGATGGAAAAGATTGTGTTTCTTATTCATTGTACTCTGAGAAACACAGTTCACACGTTGTCAAAAAATTAAATGATTTCTCCCAAGATTTTTTTTTTTTCCTTTTTCCCCTTTTTCTTACACTAAAGAATGACCCTTACCTTGGACATCCTAGAGCAACTGGCAGATCTTTGCTGTGGTTTCCATGCAAGTTAGGGATGGAAAGTAAGGAAATTCTTTCAAAGTAGTCACTGTTTTCCTTTAAAATAAAAGATATACATATCCCAGGTTCAAATTCCCTCTGTGGGCATATCAAGAATAGTAACCTGTATCGAGGATAGTGTGGCCAGTAGGGCCAGGGCAGTGATTGTCCTCCTGTATGCAGCATTGGTAAGACCACACTTCGAATCCTGTGTTCAGTTTTGGTTTTATATTAAATTTTATGTTAAATTTTTGTTTTCAAAGTGTCTAGTCTTTGAGGGCATTACCTTTTTGACCCTCTCCAGGCTGTAAACTCTCTGTATTACTAGAATTGTTTTTTTCAGGAATGACTGTATGGTTTTGGAAGAGACAGAGCAGAACCTACTCTCTCTATACTCATGGCACCATCAATTTCCTTTATGTTCCAACTTCCATTACCCTCTAAGTCAGCTTTGAGTCTTTGTGTTTGAGGTATTTTCTGGTGTATTCGAGCAGAGCGAGCAAAGCAAGGCTTTGATTTGATAAACACTGTACAGATTCATTTTGGTCTGCTGTTTGTTAAGATGCTTGTATTTCTGCATTTGCCTATGTTTTTAACTCTAAGGTCATCAGTTTCTATGTGGTTATCCATTCCCATATTGGAAATGTCTTTCATGCTATTTTGTTGTGTTTTTCTTTTCTCTTTAGAAAATGCAATTGTTGGGGAAAATCTCATTGGAGCATTTATAAAAGAGATTAAGGATGGTGTTTTTCTGCTGCATTTGGACTCCAAGCAGTTCTTAGCAGATTCTGTAATTGATTTTCCCCGGGATGAAGAGTTTGATCTGTCTCCACGTGTGCAGCTGGGATGCAGAAGCGGGTTTAGAAGGATTTCATCTCCAGGGAAAGCAGTCCCAAACTCGCAAGGGTGTGGTATGTCTCACTTTAGCTTTCCATTCTTGGATGTTGTCAGGAATCAGTGTAAAGCTGAAGTTAGAAAATTGTTGCACTTTTGTTTGTGGTTCACATGTGAAAGGCGTGAGGCACCAGCTTGAATGATAAATTTGGAGAGAGATGGGAATTAGTGCTTTGCTTACTGTTCAGTCCTCTTATCAAGCCAGTGGTTTGGAAATAGGCATCATGGCACTGACGCTGTACAGAAGGTTTTGGAAAAATTTTGGGGGATTATTTTAGATCTGTCTCGTAATTCTGTAGTTCTGTAATGTATGTGATCCTTAATAAGAGGATCTCACAAAGATAATGTAGCCAGTGCTTCAGATGATGGCACCTTACCTAGAATAGAAACCTAGATGCTGCAATGGCAGAAGTCCTGAGATTTTGAGTTCCTGGGCCAGGTCCAGCCTGCTCAGATGAAAGCTTTTTCAGTGTTGGCCAACACCCAGACCTCCCTCTTTTCTTCTTCCCCTTTCCTTCTGTTTAGTCTGCTTCCTTGGAACAGGCTGCCTTTCTGTCAAAATCCTGCTTAGGGCTGCCAAACCTACCTTTTCCAAGGTTCCCCATGGCTTTGCCTGGCTGTGCTGGGTACCAGGTCGTGCTGACAAACTGCCTTTGCCTAAAAAGCTCTACTCTTGTTTCTGTCAACACCAACTCTCCCACAGTGCAATCCTGATTGGTCTTGTTGGCCCAGTTGTCCTCAGTGAGTCTGTGTCTTACTTATGCCATTGGGGTGCATTCATGATGTCTTTTTTCTGGGGAGGGACAGAGGAGAGAAGTACCCATGTACATGTAAGAGAACAGTAGCACATATTGGATAGGTTTTCCAATGCGGGGAATATTTTCAGATGGGAAAACTTCAATACTGTGCAGCTTTAAGGTAGAGAACCTAAGAGTAAACTTGGTGTGCTGTTTCCCTTTAAGTTCAGGAGAATTTCCTAATGCCTGGGCAAAGTAATCAAGTGATGAATCAGTTCTGAACTGCTGCAGTTTCCAGCTTGGACCTTTAAGGGTAAATTGACTGCAGGTTCATGCAGAAAAAAATATTAATTCCTACTGAGAATCCAGAGTTTTTAACAACTTGTAGCTACTTAACACGATGTAGTGTTGTACTGATTGGAATGATCATTATTTTTTAAGTAGAATCTATCACTTAGAGCAGAACTTACAAAGAATTGGATCTTTCTGCCAAATATTTCCTGCCAGGGGTAAAGGCCTCTGGGAAGCAGTGAATTAAGTCACCTTGTGAGTTAATTCATATGTATTTGAATGAACTAGCTGTGGAAAAAGTCAGTAAAACAGACATCATGGAGATGTGGAAAGGAGACAGTTTCTGCTCCAGCTTTTGGCAGAGCTTTCAGCAGAGCGTTCATGCTCTAACCTGCCATGGTGTGCCTGCTGCTGGACAGTGCTTTGTGTAGTAGGACTGTATATTTTATTCTGAACAGGGAATTTAGGAATTCAGGTTCTGGTTCCTCTAAGATCGATCCATCTATCTATCTATCTATCTATCTATCTATCTATCTATCTATCTATCTATCTATCTATCTATCTATCTGTCTATCTGGATATATCTTGATCATTCATCCTGTCTGGATCTGTATCTCTATCAGAGACTATATCAGTAGGAAGTATCACCTGTGACTACAGAAACCAAAGTTGTATGAGGGTGGCAGAGAGTCTTTATTCTCTTTCCTTTTCTGTTCCAACTTGTTGTTGAAATACAAATTGGGTTTTCAGATCCTGAGCATTTTTGTTTGGTTGGTTTTATTTTGCTATCAATGTACTTTACCTTTCCTTCAGGAAGCATGGTCAGCTCTTAGTAGCAACAACTTCCTTGTGGTCTCAATAAGCTTAGTATTTTCATCTAAGAACATACAGCTTGCATGAATCTGTCTCTTCATCTCATATATTTCCTTTAAAGTCATCTCTTTATTTAGATTTTCATTTATTGTAGCTTTGTTTCAGGTTTTCCTACCTGCAGCTAATACATTTATCATGTGTTAGTTTTTGTTATGTGACATTTTTTCTTAGTCTCAGTCTTATACTGAGTTATATCATGCCACAGGTATCTATGAATATAATTCCTTAAGAGGTATTGGAGGTATAAATTTTATTTTAGCTGAATTTTAATGAGACAAAAGACACTTTCTTTGCTCAGGTATGTGTCAAAAAGAAGAGAGCTGGAAACTGTCCAGGAGAACTTTAGGAACATAACTCTTCTACCCCTATTTATTTCACGAGAAAGCCTGAAGACTGTTTGTTACTTAGCTTTGTTTTATTGTACGTTTTTATGCTGATTCCTCTTATTATTTAAAATGCTTGGCAGTTCTGTCAGAGTTGCTTTGAGCAGAATATAACCCAAATCAAAGAACATACTAGATTTATAGCTGAGCCAGCAGCTATAATGCAAAAGACTTCATTTCTAATAGTCTAGATCAAGAATCTGGTATCCCAAAGTTTTCCAGTGTCCCTGGAGGGAGTAAAGAACATTGGACAATGATCAGTTGTGACAGGTTTTGATCTTGCTTAGTGTAGTGAGAGCTGATCTTAAGTAAAAGGAAACTCTTGTGAAGTGAGGTGTCCCTCTGCAGTCACTCCAGTGAGTTGCTCTGTAACCTGGATTTTGCTACTGAGCAAGTTGCTCCCCTGGTACACAGAAGCCTGAGTCTAGCTAGAAGTGAGACCAGGTTCCAAATTTCCTGTGCAGGAGCAAGGGATTAAATTTGGGGTTTATTTTTATTTTTATATTTGATTTTCTTTTTTCTTGTTTTTAGGGATACAAATCTTGGGCCCAGTGCTAACAACCAGCTCTGAGATTTTGGCTCAGAGCTGTTCTCTAGTTTCTTACACTGTTAAAATGTGTGAATGTTAAAGCTTGAAAGAAGTACAATGTGGTGGTTTATCTGACTTTTAAGATTGAACTGAAGTTCTATGGGATTGTGTCAAATGTGACCTGTGGCTGAAAGTACCGGTGCCCCCAAGAGTTACAGAGTCTAAAAAATGTGTCTCTGCACCAAGAGTTTTTACTGCTCTTTCTGTCCTTTCGCCAATGTGGTGTGTGAGATGAAAGGGAATTTTACTTAAATATAATAGGAAACACAGATGTTTCTTTCACATTTTGATTAAAACTACGAAAACAGGAGAATGCTTTGAAAAGCTTAATTTGTTCCTTTTTAAACTGTAATTGCCTAATGAGTCTCCTTCATTCTTTGCTTTTGTCTTCAATTTAGGCATGGATTGCTCATTTCATTTTAATTTCTACTGTTGTTCATTTGCAATGAGGATGATCCTTTTTTCATGTGTTGGAAACTATTTAAAATGTATCAGACACTCTTGTGTATTAAATAATGTGCTTGTGAAAGGAGAATTCTGTATAATCCAGCATTTTTTTACGTTGTGTAATTGATTTTAGATATGTGTTTTACCTACAGTAATTGCCTTGATATGTACTTGGAAGGAAAATTTCGGTCTCACAGTTGTATCATCCTAGACCTTCCCATTGGACCATTTACAGCAGATGAAGGAAGACATGATAATTTTTCTACTAGCTGTCTTTGTAGTCTGTTATAATTTAGGTGCTCCTATAAGTTAAATTAATTTACATTCTGGTGCATTGGCCAGAACAGCAATTCATCATTTGGGTTGTGAGGATGGCCAATTTTCCATTACTGTTTCTCACTCATGTGAGCTTAAACTGCTGCCAAGATGAAGGGCAAGAAGAGAAATTAAGTTTTGCACCTTGTCCAAGTCCCAAAATATACATTTGATAGTGTTTTGAACAAAATCTACATCTGGAAAGCAGCTGTGAAATAACAAGTAGAGATGTTGTCCTGTAAACGTGTCTGTGGCTCTTCTGCTTTAATGTTCATTTGAATACTCTGGAGGGAAAGACAGTATTCCATGACATCCCAGAAGAAAGTTTTCTTCATAATAGGCAACAGGTCAGCTGGAAATATTGCTCCTGATTGTTTTGAAAATGATATCTATATGGACTAAGAGCATCTTTTTGTTTTGTGTTTGGGTTGTCATGTGCACAGCTAGTGACTCTTAATCCAGCCATTACTGTTTAGTTTGGAAGTACTTAACAAAAATTTCATTACCAGGAATTGTGGATGAAAGCATTACCATATGGTGGGTTTCTGTACGATGGTTTTGGAGTTTCTGCTCCAAGGAGCCTTCCTGTTTCTGTCTGTAGTGTTAGAAGTTGATCTGTTTGTAGCTTGTCTTCCTTTGTTCTCCTTCACAGCTTATCCACAAAGTGCATTATCTTATTACAAATGGATTTGACAAACGGAAATCAGACCTGGGTTTGGCATTTCCGAACAGCTTCATGTGCACTAATTCAAGAACAGGTTTAGGGTGATCTGCAAAAACAGACCATAGCCTGTATTCCTATCATTGATAAGTTTAATGATCATTTAAGGAGTGTTCACCCTTGTTATACCAGTTAGAAATACATACATTAACAGCTTGAAGCCTATGGCAAGTCTAAGATAAGATATATTCATATATACATATACACACCCACAGATGTGTGTACAAATGCCCAAACTGGTTGAATTCCAAAGGAGTAATAAGGTGATTGTTCTCTTTGCAGTTGTTTGTCCTCCAGGCAGTCATTTCCAGGACAATGAATGCATTCCCTGCCCTCTTGGCTACTATCAGGAGCAGACAGGACGTTCCTCCTGTATCGAGTGTCCTGTGGGCAAAACTACCAACTCCTATGGGGCAATCAGTACTGATCACTGTAAGTTGGACTCATTTTTTCCCATATCCTTTATATTCTGGCTTCCAATAACTAATGTTGGTTTTTTTTATTGCTTTGTAAGTTAAAAGAAAGAAAAAAAAATCCTCCCTCTGGGGCTTTTTGGATGGATGCGATCCCTTCTGCATACGTTCAGAGGCATTTTACAAAGTACAAACTGTCTGGTGTTTTAACCAAAAATGCATGAGAAGCAAGTGGTCAGTCTTATCCAGGATGTTGTGGTTCCTTTAGACGTGTTCATTGTCCTCAGGAATGGTATCTGAGTGTTCAGTATCAGTGAGAAACGTCTCATGCAGTTGATTTGTTGCCGCTTTCAGGAACACTAAAGCACTCTTATTCTGTGCAGCTCTTTCCCCTTCAAATACAAACACTTCTCAAAAAACAATTATTCAGATGTTCACAGAAGTTGGTGAATTCAGCTTAAATGACTTATTTTTTCATGCAGTTCCATGCAGAAAATCAGTTATTAAGTCCAAATTCAGTTTTGTCTGCAGAATTAACTTATGGATACAAATGAAAGCAGCAGGAATGGGTTTCTTGGGAGTGTCATTGTCTACTTTTTCCTCTTTCAACCTGTTTGTTCTCTTAGGTTGGATAAAAAGATCCAGTTTTATTTTAATGCATCCTAACATCAATTAGTTTTTACCTAAAGTTGTACATATTCATTTCCATGTGTATTCCCTGTGTAGGTGCTGGGCTTGTGTCCCTAAAAGTTTGGTCTTTAGGATTTTTTTACTGCACTTGGAGTTTTCCTTATTAAACCTGGTCCCCCCCTTGTTTCCACCTTACCTGTGTGCTGTATCTCAGTGCCAGCCCTCTCCAAAAGTCCAGGTTGTACAGATTAGCTTCATGCTTTCTTTCTTTCCCTGCTGTCTCCTTACAAAGTCTGAAAAGTTTTTCTGAATTAAGTGGTGTGATGGCTCTTGTGCTGTTGTTCAGGGCATTCTGCAGACCCTCTGCAGCAGGCACTGAAAAAACCTGCATGAAAATACAGTTCCTTCTTTGCTTTACCCCTTTGCTTTACAGTACTGGAGATACATCGACAGAGATTTGGTCCATGGCAGAGAATCCGAAAAATGTTTGAAACATGAATTGAAGTAACAACAAAGCAGCGAGACTACCATGTTTTAGAGCATAAAACACCATGCAAATCTTAGCTAATTTTCAGTGAAGTCTCTGCTGTAGTAAGGGGACTTTTGTCCTACAGCAATGGAACGTTGTCCTACTGCATTGAGAGGACCAAAATAAATGGGCACAACTGAAGCACAGGAGGTTCCCTCTGAACATCAGAAAACGTGTTTTTACTGTGAGGGTGACTGAACACTAGCACAGGTTGCCCAGGGAGGTTGTGGAGTCTCTGACCTTGGAAGAAGGGTAAAAGCCATCTGGATGTGGTCCTGGGCAACCAGCTCGTGGTGGCTCTGCCTGAGCAGGGAGGTTGGACTGTACAACCTCCAAAGTCCTGTCCAACCTCTACCATCCTGTGAAACCCAGTGACAGCATTATCAAAGCACCTTTTTTTTCTTGCTTTCTTGTAACAGGTATCACATACTGTCAGAGCAATGAGCAGGGGCTGCAGTGTGATGAAGATGGTCAGTACAGACCTTCCCAGAAAGACCCTGACACTAAGAAATACTTCTGTGTCAATAACTTTGGAGCAGCACTGGACTGGACTGGAACCGAGAATCTCCTTACAGATGACCAGTGCATGGGTAAGTGCCAGAAGAATGTTTTGGATATAGTTTGACTCCACATAAGTAAAACCTCCTTTTGAAGAGACTAGTCACTCCACAGCTTATGGGGATTCAGTTTCCCATAGTTGTGGCCTCTACCTTAAGCCACATTTGGGAAGTTATTTCTGGTAAGGGAAGAGTGAGAAGCAGTTTTCCTGCACTCTCAGATGGCTAACAGCTTTTGATGTGTGCTGACCTCCTGCTCTCTGCTTGGAAACCCAAAAGAATAATGAGAAGGCTAATGGGAAAGAAGCAGAATTATTAATTTCCATGTAAAATTATCCCTCATGACTGTATTCATGGGAAATAGACTATTTTCAGCAATGATCTCACAGCTGTGACATAGCATCACTCTCTGGGCTCCTGCTGTAAAATATCTACCTTGCTGAGCATATCCTTGCAAGCTGGACAAGGTTACTTCTGCTTGAATACAGCTGTGAAATGCTGGTTCTCAAGGATGAAAAGTTTGAAAAAACAAAGTCATCCATCAAACAGTCCCCAGACTGCCTACAGTAAGGTCTGATTACACCTCTCAGCCTCAAAGCTTTTGCTTTTTTCCAGAAGTTTTTATATACTCATCATATGACTGGTGTTGAAATTAGTGGAATATTCTGTTTGGAATCTGATGTCATGGTGGGCTTTGAATTAGACAATGTCTTATGACAAGTCTGATCAGTGGAAGGAGTGTGAAATGAAATCCCTTAGTTGTGAAGAGGCTGCAAAACTATTTTCAGCTAAAATAGCTTTTTTTTCCCTCTGAGCATACTGAGAGACTGATCATAGCTATAAACATGAGGTGTGAGCCTCTGTTGCTCTTGATCATGGGGCAGTTGGGATGTTTCTCTGGGCAAAGGATTCAGGAGTTCAGTTCTCATGTTACTCCCCTTGAGCCTTCCTGCGTGGGCATTTCTGAGTCTATCCAGGATGGAGCTGTTCTAGATACCTGTGCTTGTTTTTGTGGATTGTGCTAGACGATGTCACTACAAGTATTTGTGACTGTTAAAAATTTGGGTTGGAAAAACCCAGCAACAATGTATCATAAAAGATTTTGAGTTGGTAGGAACCTTAAAGATCATCTAGTTCCAACCCCCTTCCATGGGCAGGGATGGCATCTAATAGATCAGGCTAATTTAATTTCTTTTTTTTTTTTTTGTTTAAAGATCATGCTGCATTTTCAGAAAGCATTATATGAAGTGAAACTGTTTGTCTCTATTTTTACTTTTCCCCCTGCCCTTGCTATTTCCCTTAACTGAATTCTGCACACAGCAAGACAGCAGGGGCTGAAGGCTGACCTTGCTTTGACAGGAGGTTGGTGTTTGGGCAGGGTCAATAAAACACAGCTTGTCTTTGGCTTTTGAGTCTTCAGGCAGAAGAAGAATTGCCTTCTATGAAAGCACAGTAATAAGCTGTAACAACTGTTGCTTGTTCTTATCATTCTCTCTCTTGTTGTATTTTAGGCCACTTAATGTTTACACTTAACATTTATTACTTAACATTTATTAGATGGGGGTTGGGACTGGGAGACCTTTAGGGTTTCTTCCAACCCAAACCATTCTGTGAGGCCTGCCAGAGTTCAAGAAACATTTGGACAATGCTCTCAGGCACATGGTGTGATTCTTGGGGGTGTCCTGTGCGGGGGCTAAGAGTTGGACTTGATGATCTCTCCCAGAGTCCCTGCCAGCTCAGGGTATTCTATGATTCTGTGATTATATCAACATGAGTAGGACCTACAGCTTTACTCTAGTAATATGTGGGAGAGAGAATTTCTGCTCTGCACTAAGTATGTGAAATGGCTTTATGAATGCATTTTTTTTACCTTTCTTCATAGTAAAAAAAATAAAATTCAAGAATTATTTCGCAGTGTTTTCAGTTTCATGTTTCATTACACTTTCAATATTTTCTCTACTTTTCTCTCATATTATTGTATTTAACACATATCGTATTCAATAATATTGTATTCAATAATATTGTATTCAATAATGTGGGAGAAAAGTAGAGAAAATATTTTATGGGAGAAAAGTAGAGAAAAAACATTTCTCTTGAAAATGCAAGGGTGAAATGAAGTCAGAATTAGGGAGAAAAATCAGAAGAAAAGAAAAACATTTGAAAATGTAATTTTGTAAATTGCATTTTGCAGTAGAAATGAGAACAGTTTTTAACCAGGCATCACTTCTAGTTGCAGATGCAGAAGGGATTTAGTTTAGTGCAGAATTTAGCTAATGCTTATATTTCTATGCCCCATATTTCTAGGAGGGAAAAAGCTTCCACCTCTGTTTTCACCATGATTCTTCCCTGTCCCCATCTGGGCTGGAGTGCAAGGATTTTCTTGTTTTGACAGACCCTCTTGATTTTTTTTCTGAGCAGAAATGATGGTTTTATCAAAAGCACCTGCTGACTCAGCCCTGACAGCAATGGACATTTGCTTCTGATTTACTCCTGACTGTCTTGCTGTAAGAGTACAAGTGATTGTTTTAAGAACTTATCCATTTGACTTTTATTTTGTGGCTTATCCAGACATTTCAGGGACAGAGGCCTGTGATCTTCCAGCTTTTATTTTGTGGTTTATCCAGACATTCCAGGGACAGAGGCTTGTGATCCTCCAGCTGGACCTCTGCCTCCACAAGTGAAGTGAGGAGAAGGGCTGAGTCTCCAGCAGTTCCACATGCAGACATCTCCCACAGGCTAGGATCAGACCTGTGGGACTGATGCTTCTTACCTGCTTCTTACCTCTTTTAGGTCTAGGCCAGGTTTTGGCTGCAATGAGCCAGAGGTTTGTCTTCCCCGGGGCATTTAGAGAAGTTTGGTCAGCACAGAGATGATGCTATGTCACCATGTTCTTCCCTTAATCATAGACTGGTTTGGGTTGGAAGGGACCTTAAAGATTGTCTAGTTCCAACCCTCAGCCATGGGAAGGGGTAATGTGCTGTGCTCACTGAAATAGACTGATATATCAATGTGTGGACCCCCTGTGCCCACCCCCTTGGTAGTACAGGCAGTAGCAACCTGAGCAGGGTGGTGGTGGCACTGTGTGTCCCTTCACCAGTCTGTGATCCTCTTCAGGGCACAGCCAGGGCCAAACCCTCTGGAGCTTAAATGGATCCCTCGCTCCATTTAATGACCTTTGGGGTTTGAGTCTCTAGACCCCATGAGCCTTTCCTGGTTTGCAGACAGTGCTGCTTGCCAGACATCCTTACACTTGGGTGCAGAGGGAGCAGATCAAAGTGCTTGGTCAGTAGAGTGATAGTCAGGTTTTAAAAGCTGAAAATGAAGGAGCAATAAAACAGCATGTAGGAAACACTACCTTGGATATATCCCTGATCCTGAAGTCAGTGGAGATCAGGCTATTGTGCCCTTGGAAACAAGGCTCTTAGATTTCCTTTCTAACCAAGTGATGTCAGAGCTGGCTCCTGTGTCAGTGGCTGTTTTGCAGAAAGTTAGTTCCTCACATGACTCAATAGTTGGTTCAGTGCCTTGAACAAGGAATGAGAGATGGCAGGTGTGCTGCTGGAAGAGAAAGCCTCACTTCAATGTAAACTCCCAGCCCACTCCTGGCTAAATGTTTTTCAAAAAATCTTGTGATGCTTCTTTTTTTTCAAAGCAGAAATTCTATCCCCACTCCAGCTGTCTCCTGAGTTGTCTGTGGGTTATGGTACATCATTTAATGAGCAAGCCTCTTTCCCTACAGAATTCTTCAAGTTTTATTTCTTTGTAAATTCTGTCTGTTTGGAGCATGGGAACTGATAATAGTAGGTGGTTGGTTTTTTTGGTTTTTCTTTTAGTGCTCAGAAAATTTGAGAGAGTTCTTGCCTCCCACCTCATTTATGGATCAGAAGAAGCTCAAATTCTTCAGTCTCAGTCATTTGGAGGAGACATGCAAAGTGCATATTTTCAGTGCATTTCAGGTGAGAAAACTCTGATAAAATTTGTAGAGAGAACACTAACCATCATGGAAAATAATAATATTTTTATATGATGAGCTTATAATTAAGTTCCTCCATGAACTATATGTTCTGCAGTTTGGCACCAATTCACTACAACATATTTACAACTTTTGGTGACCTTGGTTCAGAGAAGAGATTGGTGTTCCTTTCAGAAAGAAGTAATCTGTAGTTTGCAATATGGATGAGAGCTGAGATTTAAACCAGAAACATTCATCAGACTTTGCAGATGTGCAGACAAAAGAAGGATTATGTGTTCAGGATATATGAAAACCAAGCTTTTACCTCTTCCCAAATTACTTGGTTGGCACATAGAAGAATAATAATCTCCCTTGCTTAGGAAGGGTGTTATAAGGAGTGCAAAGATAGTCCTCTGCCAAGTCTTGCAGTCTGTGCACTACATTGCATTTGGATACATCATATTTGCTGGTTTAAGTTGGTTCAAAATCCTCTAAAACCAAGGGGAATCACCTCACTTCTTTCAGGGTGCTTTGAGTCAGTCTCACCTTGTGTCTCCTCATGCTCAGGCTGAGGAGGGAGGCAGAGGGGATATGTCCAAAAAAAAACACCCTGGCAGTAATAACACAGGTGGCCTGCTTGTAGGACGGATATCAGAGAAGTCTGACAAATCAGTGGCTTTATGTTTTATTTTGGTTTATTTAATACTAAAGACATTTGGAAAAAAAATTCACCTGTGCTAGGAGCAAAGCTGTGGGAGCAAGTTAACAGTGAGTGTGTAAGGGCAGAAGGAACTTCAGCTGCTCCTAAATCTGGAGAGGGATGGCTGTTGCTCCCTTACACTGGCCAGGGCGATTCTGCAGAGGCAGCCAGTGTGACTGAATAATTTGGTGTTTCCCTCCTTCCTACCACCCCGATATTTGTCACAACCTCTTTCCCATGGGTTACTGCATCAGGCAGATGTCATGTGCTGGCAAAGTGGTTCATGAGAGTCCTACCTCAGGCAAAATTATCCAGCAGACATTAAATATTTGGGTGGGTGATTAGGCCTGTCTCAACTGTTTATATTATCAGGTGATGAACAACTTTTTGGGTGAATTTAAGTTAATTTAAAATCCTTAACCCTCTACTAAAATAGTTGAATACTTAAGTTCATCTGGCTAATGAAATTCACGTGCTTGCACTCTGACAGACATATGAACAACTAGGTAAGTGACAGTAAGCAGTGGAATTTGTAGGAAAAGTTTTGCATGAGAATTCCTAGGAAACCTAAGGCTTCTTCCTTGTTTCTCAGGCTGCGAGAGGGAAGATGCATGTGGCTTTGCAACTGTAACTCCTGCTGGCACTGAAGTTCTCTGTGAATTATACAGTGCTGCTGAAGTCAACTTCAACTGCACCACCTCTGGATTGGTAAGAATTGTTATATTGAAAAATATGTGTTTATCAAAATGCTGTATGTTCAATATAAGGGGACAAGATCACAGAAGAAAGGCAGGCTGTTACCTGACCCCTTGGACATTGCTGTTCCCTATTGCAGTAATAAATTCTTGCAAGTTGGTAAAGCAGCTACACCCAGATGTTTGCAAAAGTGACGTCTGGATGTCTTAGTGTTTAGTTGAAACATCATATAGCACTGTTGTTCCTAAAATATGCTGGGCTCCTGCAGTTAGGAAATCAGGTTGATTTAAAAAGAGGATTAATCTGGATAGTTCAAACTAGAAGTATTTTTCAGTTCCTTTCTCTAGCCCAGGGTTTGAACTGTGTGCTCTTTATCACTGTAATATTTTCCTATTCACTACTTATAGACACAGCAATGTGGCTTTGAAGAATTATGTTTAATAGAATAAAAAATGTCCATGTTGGATAGAATAAAAAATGTCCACATGAAGCTGTGGTGATAATAATCCCTATGTGTGCTAGTTCCTCCCTCTGAGTTTCTGAATAAAGAAAATGTATTTTAGGAGAGGAAATCAGTTAAGTTTTGTTTATTATGCATGACCTGTTTTCTGTCTCAGGTACAAGGTGTTTTGGGGAACCCTTCTGCCACTGGCGTTGGTGGCCTCAGCTGCCTGCTTCGTATCAGGAATCCAGAAGGAGATGCACTGATGGTCTATTTGAAGAGAGGTACCAGATGAGAATCACTCACCTAATATTAGACTCTGTGCCCAAGATGGTAGTTGCTATTATAAAGGATCATGATTAAATGCGGGGAGCATCTTTTTTTAAGAAGGCACAATACTTTTGAGAGCTCAACATTTAGTGATAACCCAGAAACCACAGCCATGTCATGCTTCCTAGAAATTAGGAATACAGCTTTTGTAAGCCATTTTGACAGCTTTTACTAACAAGAAGTCCCAAGAAAACCTTTAATTTTATCCAATGTATTATCCTATTCTACTCTGCTCTGTTGTATTATGATTTCTCCTTATTAAGTAGTTTGTTATTTGAGTATATAGGGCATTATATGATGATGATGATATAAGGCATTATTAGTGACCCTCCTAGCTGGCAGAAGCCTGAACTGCAGATGCAGTTATGCTGGCCAAATTACACATTTTACTTTTTTTAATGATGTAAGTTTGTATCTGGGAGTTACTAATGCAGTGCTTGAAAGTGGAATATTAAAACCTTACTGCATACATCAGTTTAGGAGCCCTTTGCTGGCAGTACGTTCTGACCAGCTACCCAGGTAGAAAGGCACCAAACCATTTGAAGCATCCCTTGAGCATCTCCTGAACGTCATTTTTTTCCCATTGTTTCTACCCAGGACAGGAGTTTAACTCGTCTGGACTCAAGGCCTTTGAGAGGACGGGTTTTCAGAACGTGCTGTCAGGCGTGTACCACTCCGTGGTGCTCCCGGCAGCCGTGGCGTCGCTGACGGACGCTCAGCTCCTGTGCCGGCAGCTCTGCACTGGGGACTCCTGCTGCGACGGCTTCATCCTGAGCCACACTGCCCTGGGGAGAGGTACTGTCCAACTGCACAGCAAAACCTCCTGCAGCAGGGAACCAGTGCTGAGTAGAACTCACTTTTGAGCACAGCACACCTACCTCTGTGTCATGGCGCTGTCAGCAGCTGTCTCTACATCACTGACAGTTTTTTGGTGTTGTCAGAATTTGAGTAGTACCCCAGACTTCGTCTGGAGCACTAGAGGTAGAGAGGTGAGGCAGCAACCTGCTCTTGGACTTTGAAATATCTTTTAAAGGATAATTCTTTAGACATGCTTTAGACATCTGCATCTGGATAAGATAAATCATTCTGAAACACCTCTCTCCTTAAGTAGCACAGCTTGCTTGCCATAACTGGAGTGCTGCAGCTCTCTCTTTGCCTGACCCTAGGTACCATTCTGTGCAGTTTGCTGAGCTCCCCAGATGTGCTGATCTGCGATGGAAGTGTCTGGAATCCAACACCAACCTCTGTCATAGGTGGAATATGTAATGGTGTGAGCTATGACGAAAAGGAGAAGATGTTTTCCTTCACTCTGGGAGGACAAGTGTTCAGTGGAAGTATGTCATTGAATTCTCTCAATTTACATTAGTTTTCTTTAATTGTTGTATAGACTCTGCCTTATTCACCAGCCTACTCTTGTGCTTCAGTGCTTTTTTCCTCAAATTAAGTTCATATCAATACAATCACAAGAGAATCAGAGCTTTCTAACTGGATGCATTGTTAAATAGATGGACCTCCCACGCCTTACAGTGTGTACATTAATGCAAGTCAAGAATGTGTTTAGTATGTCACCCTATAACAATTCCAGCATTTAATTCAGGCAGATTCAAGCCAATAATCTGGAAGAAAGGTAAAGTCCAGAACAAAGATAAAAAGGGAGGTGCCCAGAGCTGCACAGTAAAAACAGTGATGGAATATTGAGTAAAGCCTTGGCACTCTGAGCCCAGACTAGCCCCTTGACAGCTGGGACCTTCTTCCTTAGGGTTTTGTATCATAAATAAGGTGATGCATAGTGTAGCAATGCGTTTTCTATGCAATTTCTGAGCATTAAAATACTATCTGTGTAATTTGAGCAGCTACTCTAACAAAATTTTTTCTTTATTAGCTTCTGAGTTGGTGAAAGAGGCAGAAAGAAATTTTACAACCTTTCAGCAAGTTTACCTGTGGAGAGGTGAGTTACCTCACAGAAGTTGTTATAAAAACTTACGTTGAACTGTTGGCAGTGGCAGATGTGTGTTCTATAATGGAAGTGCCATTGTTGCTTCATTTTATGCTGTCCAAATTGAGACTGCTCAGAAGTCTTTTCTGGTAGGATGGGTTTATCTGGGCTAATTCTGCTACTTCCATTTTAATGAAATTTGGATAAATTCTGGTGTTGAAGAACATAATTTATAACTTTTAATACCTGTGAAAATTGTAGCATTAACACACTTGCTTTTGTACCATCAGTGTCCAGGTGCCATAATAATTTGGCACTTTATGCTTTACTACATAGGTTATGTTTTTTAGCATGATAACCCTGTATGTGTTATTTTTGCAAGTTTGCTTTCTGAATGTCACCATGTACATAGCAGGACCTGCACAAATGATTTTTGATGCTGCTTTATAAATGCACACAGTCTTCAGACCACTGATGCTGAATGCATAATGATTGTGTATATGACATTTGCTTTTATCCTGCAAACCATGCATTTTGGTTTAGGTTTTGCCCAGAGCTGTACAGACATGGTTTATTTGTTTTTGATTCAACAGCTGGTGGAACTTCCTAAAGAGGTGCACTTTAAAATATTTGTGAAATTTTGGGATCTAAGGATGGTTTTGTGAAAGACAGATAAAGGGAATTACAATGCTCTTTAATTCCTGTTTCATTCCAGATTCTGATATGGCCACCCAGACTAAAACCTCTGAGTGTGGTGCTTCTGCTGCTTTGGAGACAGAGAATGATTTGGCATTGTCAGGTACTATGTCAAGGGTGGGCAGAGAAGACAGCAGAGGAGGGATGCAGAGTTTAACCAGAAAATATTATATATTGCTATATATATTCATAACGCCCTAGGTATTGTGAAGTAAAGAGGATTTCTTTTAGGTAGGAAGTCCAATACAGGTTTTGAGGAAGATGTTCAAAATGTAAACCTCCTGGCTTTATGGTTTTTACCTTCCTAGGCTAGGCTGGAAATGCAGGTGTTAAAAAGTTCTATGAAAGCTTGTTCTTTCAGACTTATTGAATTGAAGGGACTCAAGAAGTATTATTTGGTTTAAGAAAAAATTTCACCTAGACCCAGAAATTAAATCCTTAGCTAGGGTACCTGGGTATCTTTACTGCTAGTGACAGTATGACTACAAATATGATGCTTAGAGAAAATCAGGATCACAATCACAAGTGTTTCCTCCATGCATGATGACAGTGAGGGACTGGGAACTTCTCTTAGCTCTTTGTTATTCCAGGGTTTGCTCTGTTATACTATAATCATGCATAGGTCCTAAAGAATTTGTAGTAAGTTGCTAGAATTCATTTGGGCCTTCAGCACCATAATCCTAAGTGAGCAATGGAGCCTGTTGAGAGCACCTTGGCTCACCTTTAATGAAATGTAATCTTTGGTGAGGAGTCTTGATGAATGTCTGAGCACATGATTTAATACATGCAAAATCCTAAAAGGAAGTGAATTGCTGATTTTCTTTTGGAATTTGAAGGGGAGGTAAACTGAAAATGCCCATTTACCAAGTGGTGCTCCTATAGAATTAGGGGTATTTTAAAGTCTAGACTCAAAAATGAGGGAAAAAAACCCATGTAATACAGTGGGTGAAATTTCTCTTGCATTTACCTGCCAAGGCATGAGTGCAGCCCTCAGGGTCCTCCATTTACCTTGCTGGGGCTGATGGTATCATTAAAATATGAAGTTATGCAAGGAATGCAGTTTCTACCTGCATCCCTAAGTCTTAGTTGTGACACCAGCTGTTTCCAGAGAAACTGGAGGTTGAAGTTAAGGCTTGAGAAGTAACAGGAATTATAAGCCACCTTTTTTAAGAAGTTATAGGTACAAAACTTATAAGTTATAGAAAAATGTCTACAAAGCTTTTATTACTTGATGATCTTTCATAAAACACATGGTAAAATATCTTTTCTAGTTTCTGATAGAAAATTCAAAGCTATCGTGCACTCCCAGCATGTCAGTAGGTGCTTCAGCACTTCAGTAGTAATCATCAGCATGTCCTTACTTTTCCTTGTTTTCATTATTGTCTGATTGTTTCACTGCATGTAAGATTAAATAACAGAATTTCTCACAATGTTGGTCCCGGGGGTGAGAGCTGCTGAAGGCATTTGATAAATAAGAAAGTGTTGAAAAAGAAATTTGTGAGAGATCAGCGAAGAGCGTCCATGTCTTTCAATATTGCAACCTTATTTAAAAGGCCAAATTTGGAAACAGCCTGAAAGACCTGTGATTGATTGTTTCAGAGAGAGCTCAGGAGATATAAAGCATTGCATACAGGTCTAAAGGTCACAAGCAGGTGACAGAAAGGAGTTATTTAATGCAGTCTGTGGGAGCATAAACTAGGAGAAATGAGGTTAAATGACAGAAGTAAGTATTAAACTTGTCAAGAAAACTTTCAACATAGAGAGAAGAGGTGTAAAAGCTTCTCAAGGGAATATAAGAAAACTTCTGTACTTTGGATTAATAAAATTAGTTTGATTAAGGAATTGCAAACATCCTCTGAGGCATCATACTTCAATGCTAGGATGTTGTGTTGCATGACAGAGTAGAGAGAACGCTCTAATTTCTAGGAGATGGGATTTTCATCAGGTTTTTGGGAGGTGGAAATAATCTGACAATGCTGTGTTGTGCAGTGCAGCTCAGAGAGGGGGCATTGCCTGCAGGAGCATCTCTAAACGTGGGAGGACAGTTGTGTTATGAAAAGCAGTCTTTGGTGTATGCTAACTGGACAAAATGATTGCAGCTGTTTTACTGTGAAAGGCAGAATTTTATGCATAAATAAATTTAATTTATTCCAGATCATATTTAAGCTTTGTTTTGTGGGACTGTTTGTTTGTATCTCAGATTCCACAAAGGATCTTTTCTACCTAATGGACAACAGCCAGATACAAAGTGACCAGAACTATTCTCTCCCTTATCAGCAGTACTGGATCTTCAGTCAAAAATACTCAGCTGAGGAAGCTGTGCTTTGGTGTCTCACACGTAAGACTTCTTTGGGGCTGTTATTCTGTAGGAAATAATAATTAACTAAAATCTTTTAAAAGGCATTATAATAAAGACCAGCAGAAACTTTGGACTTCAAGATTTTTTGGGGGGAAAATTCCTAAAATTTTTGTGGAAATTGCTAATGGGGCTACCTGTTTCTTCCTTACAGTTTTTGCCTGCCATGGCAGAAGGGGTACCTGTCATTCATCATCAGGGTACCCCAGTTATGGGCAAGAGAAGTTGAAGATACAGCTTAGACAATGCTCTGGTGTTCTTTAAAAGTACCTTTCCAAATAGATAGATGACATAGTGGTAAAAGAAGAAGATAAAATACAGATATTTTAAGGGGTTAAAGCTAAAGTCTATTTTGATGCAATAAATGGAGAGGAGTTTCTAGCTCTACCAGGAAGTCAGAACTAAGAGGGCTAAACAGTGCACAAGCATCACTGTAAGAGGTCAGTAGAGATATGCCTGTTTAAAATGATGCATGTTTACAGGAGCCATTGCCATGGTAATTAAGAGATGAGTTGGGCAGCTTTGGTTCTTTTTTGAAGTTGCATTATTACCCTGGGGTAAATTTCACAGAAAACTGCTACAGGCAAATGGTTTAAACAGTTTATTCCAGAAAAGTTATGTGTAATTTTGTGTGATGCATGAGTGCTTAAGAAATATTTTTTGTAAAAACATCCTAAGACATTGTGGACTTTATTGTCCTTTTTACTCATTAAAGTAAGAGACCCATGACTGATGCAGAGTTATTTTATGATTATGTGATTTGTATGTCAAATTTACTGAAAAGAAAGAGATTTTTATGAATTAAATGTTAGAGTGGTACCAATACACTGGAGTAATGCTTGCCACAGCTGGGAAATTTCTCTTCCCTGTTAGCTGTGCTGTAGCTCCTTTTCTGTGTTCTCCAAGTACACCTGCTGCTCAATGTCACTAGAATTGGAATATATCCCTCTTCCTCTTGGGCTTTTAATTAATTAAATTAATTAATTTGCACAACTAACAGGATAATATTGAAATTCTCACTCTTAGTTGCTTGCTGATATTTAGCTTTAAGTGCACCGAAAACATGAACATGAACAGAGAGGGGAAGGAACCCTTGTGTGTGTAACTCTTTCTGACTTTGCTTCTCAGGCTGCGCTCAGGAAGATGAGTTTTGTCGGATGGCAGATCTTCAAAACACCACAGACAAATACTTTGTGTGTACCCTCTATCCAGAGGCACAGATTTGTGACAGCAGCATTGATCAAACACCAGGGAACTGTCCAACTGTGCTGCCCCGGCAACCGCAGACCCTGTATCGTAAAATAGGCAAGTTTTGGTATTTGGACTTATAATGTCTGTTCTAACCCTGGTAATGTAAGCTGGTGTTTGGCTCTTGATTCTGAGACAAAAAGTCTAAATATACGAATGAATCCTGGGATGTGATGGTGCAGGGACAGGTCAGAGTGTCCTGGGCATGGATGTTCATTTTCTGTTCAGAATGGAAAGATATTAATCACCAGTTTCATTTTCCACCTCAGCTATTCCCAGTTCAGAGAGGCCAAAGGTAGCTCAAATAACTTGTATACCAGCTCTCAGATCTTTTTATAAAGGATGAAATGGGAATGTCATTGGAGTGTCACTAATCCCATTTTCTAGAATTAAAATTTCCACGGTAGCTAAGTAATGCAAAAATTGAAAGGACTGAGTGTAATTTTTTTTTAATTTTTTTTTTTTTTGCAAATGCAGAGTTATAGACATGTGGATTTTAACCTTTGCTCTGTGAATACTTGGGAGGTTTAGTGTTTTTTCTCATAAGGCTCATGTAAGGAAGCTGGACAAACAATGCTGTTCCCACTGCACAGGAACCTGTAATTTTGCTGTGAAAAATGTAAAGGTCCACTGAACTAAGCTACTCAATCATGTCTTTTCAGGTAGTCTAAAGGGCAGCATGGGTTGACTAATGTATGAGCACACTGGAGTTTTCCAATCTGGAGCTGTATCCCAGTTTTTGACCTTGTGAAAGGAGTAGCATCACTGCAGGTCTCAGAAACAAAAGTCCTGGGCTGGAAGCCTTTCTTGGACAATGTATTTTGCTCAGCTTTTAGAGCCTTCACTTGTTGGATTTTCATTCATCTTCAGGCTTAACCATCAAAATTTTGCTGTGATAATGTCAAATTATCTTTTGATCTACTGGAGCCCAACAAAGAAATATAAACTTGACCCTTAGCATGTGATTGCTTGACCAGTATATGTATATGACAAAGTTAAACTGATTTTTCCAATTTTGTTTTTCTTTTTCCTTCCAGTCACTCTTCAAAGTTCTGTAAAGAGCTTCTACACACGTGTACCATTCCAGAAAGTAACAGGAATCTCAGTGAGGAATACAGACTGACATGAGCAGAAAAGCTGTTTCAGATGGGTAGGATGTGAATGTTCCTTTGTTTTTCCTGGAGTTTTAACCATGCCTGGAGTACCATAGACCCCATTATACAGATGAGGGGGATTAGATGTATTTATCCAAAAGCATCATTTAAGAGTATTTAATGAAGAAAAAAATAACACGCGATTTAAAGGAAATGTATAATTGAGTTATAAATAATATAAATAATAATGTATATAGTTACTAATTATATATGTGAAAATTGTTATTTCTGCTGCTATTACATTGCTAGTTAGCCAGTTAAATCTCTTATCAATAATATACTGAATTAATTTAGGCTGATATTTTTAGGGCAGATATCAAAATAATAATCTAAATTATTAAATGTAGCCTGATAGGTGTATAATGACCAAACATAATTTCATCTACATATGGAAAATGCATGGAAGTGTGTATGCAATAAGAACGAGACTGGTTCTTCAACCTTTTTGTGAAAGCTCTCTGCAGGTTCTTGGTGTCTCTCCCCTGTGCAATATCCTCTCTTCTCCATCACAGACACAGATTATTAGTGACTGAGAGCAATGTTCTTCCTTCCCCAGGTTTTTTGAGTGTGAGCGTTGGTGTGATGCTGACCCCTGTTGCACAGGATTTGGCTTTTTTAATAACTCCCAGCTGTCAGGTATTTTTTCTCTATTTTTATTTTTTAGGATAACTTCAGTCTTTCTTCATTATCTGAATTTTACCATTCTTTTGCTCTGAAGAGCACTTTGAAAGTCCTTGCAGATCTCATGCATCTCTCTTCAGCACCTCTTCAAGTAACCATAACCATTTCTAAGAGTTCAACCCAGTGCCACACTCCACATCTCAGAAACTGTTGAGAAAACTCTGTGAGTCCTTAAGAGGCTGCAATTCCAACAGCAAGAAATCCAAACTGATAAAACTCCAGTTACTACTCGTTTATCACCCTCTCTTCTAAAATATTGCTTGACATCATTTTGTGACCTTTTTTCCCTTTTTTGCAGTTTCTTTTTTTAAAGCCTAAAGGACTCAGAAGCCTAACTATTAATGAAATTAAATGCATGTAAACCCATAATGTCTGTGGATACTTTGGGACAGCTGAGCCTTTCGGCTTTCTTGGATGTCTGAACTTCTCTGCTCCCAAATTTTAGTCTTCTGCTTGAGGAAGATTGGTTGTGGATAGAGCTTGCCTATCGGTTCCTCCTTAGGATTTTAGCTACTTAAGACGTCTCAAGTAGGAGTTCTGTTAGTCTGCAGAAATCAGATCTTTTGAAGTGTGTTTGACTTGAAAGCCATTAAAAAGTCAAACAAAAGTGTTTTATTCCACTGGGATAGCTAAATTAAAGGGTGTTGTCACTCAGTGCTTCCTCTCTAGTCAGCAGAGAGATGTATAGACACAACTATAGGGTCATTAAGAGTCTTAGTTGACTGAATCCTGTTCTGGAGGTACTTTTCTTTCTCTCCACTGACTGTAAAGGAAGTGCTGTAAAACTTTAGCTGGTATTTAGAATTGGATGCCACCCAGGTTAAAGTAAATGAAATAGAATTTAGTACTTTATTCCAGATTCAGATTTAGGCCGCTAAAATGCCTAACTTTGTTTTTGGAAGAGTTATGTGCTAATCAACTCTCTCTGAGGTCATTTAGGATGTGCTGGCTTTGGGAATTTGAAATGGTTCAGAAATATATATATTTTAATTCCATGTTTTTGTTGAGCAGACAAAATTTCCAGTTGGTCAAAAAATGAATAGCTTGGAAAATTAATCTGATGTATTTTAGATGACAATTCATGTGCAAATAAAAATTAGTTGACAGTTTTCATACCTCCATATGACTATATGAAATTTGAAGTCTTAACTTAATGTGGCTTTAAGTTTCTTTAAATAGTTCTAAAATAAATGAAGAATTTTAAAGCACCAAACATACAAAATAAAAAAACTCACACCTCTTTAGTTTATCTGATATTAAATATCTGTGACATTTGAGATGTCCAGTTGTGGCACTTGTATAGTCAAGAGAACTTTCAGTAGTGATTTCAACATGAGCTAAAATGTTCAGTGAATCTGCTAGCTGTGTTTCAAACCCTCAATTTTTTTTCAGGAACAAAAATATTTACTCTAGGTCTTTGAAAGACAGAATTTTTATCTTGATGTAAGTAGTGGCCATGTTTCAACATACATGCAGATTTTTAATTTCAAGGATTGCATTAACCTGAAAAGGTTACTTACTCAAAGATTCCTGATCTTTGCTCAGTGGAAATGCTCTGTGATCTTGGATTATAATGATTAATAATGTTGGTACCCACCTTCCTTCACACGGAATTCATTGGGATTTTTCAACACTAGTTTCAGCTACTTGGCCAATTTTGGTATTTCCTGCCTTTGATTTCTAAGTCAGTTGAACTTCATTTAACACTCAGTGGAACCATGCTGTGCTCTCTTTCCTCTCAACTATCTAGAAGAGGAAAATTTTCCTCATAATTTCTATAACCATTTATTTCCTTGGCAGGTGGAAAGATCGTGTGCGTGACTCTGAACAGCCTTGGAATCCAGACATGTGCTGAGGAAACAAGAAGTGCTTGGCACATTTCAAACTGTAATTCTCCAGATGCTGAAGTCAGAATACACCCATTTGGCTGGTATCAGAAGCCTGGTAAGTGATGTAGGACATATGACCTTTCTAACTCGTTCCTGCACATTGAAGTTTATTATTTATCTTTATTGTATACAAATTCCAGCTTCCCAGCTGTAAGACCCATTTGCAAGGACTACAAATAGACAAGGCAGACAAGCACTTTGAAGGGAAAGAAAAGTGCAGTTTAATCTCCATTTTAATAGAAAAGGAATAGTAATACCTCAAAGAAGTATAATTTAATTTCTTAAGTTGTATGGGAGACTTCTGGCCAATGTTGAAATTCAAATATATTTTGCCCCACTGCACAGTCCTGGTCAGTAAATCTTTCTTTGTTTCTCACTCACTGCTGGGCTAATGGTTTTACCATCTGTGTGGATGCATAACCTCAAAATATTTGGTTTTGCTACAGAATTTAAGATGCACTTTTGGCTGTTTTGGTAAAGAAAAGGCCAAGACCAGATTCCAAGGTAGGATTGTATTTTTCAAGAAGTAAGAAGCCATCACATGTTTAAGCAGAGGAGCAGTTATGAGTTGTTGGGTTATTTCTTCAGGAGGAATCAAAACCACTCTTTGTCAAAGTGGATTTTATTTTCCGTAGCAAAACAAAAGTTCCATTGCTTCATTGAAAACTAAATGGATTTCTCATTTGTTACACTTCTTTTGGGTAAATCTAGTTCTACTTTGTTCAGCTTTGATTTCACATAACTGAAACAATAAGGAAAACAATTGCCTGCCTGCCTGTGTCCCCCTTTATGAGAGGACAGCCTGTTAGTTAGTCACACAGGCACAGTCTTGTTGAACTCCAGAGCAGACAGGCCCCATGGGGACAGGTCTGGTGATGTTGACAGAATCAGGGAAAAAAACTGAATAAGGAGTACTTTTTCCTGCTTTTACAGGAGAGGCACAAAGTCTGGATATATATTGTCCTGGGCATGTGATAGAAAGATAATCCAGTTAAAGCTGTGTAGAGATAGATCAGATATTGTGACAATATGCTGAATTTTACAGTGTTGATAGAGAAAACCTTCATTCACACTCTTTAAGTGTTTGAAATATGAACTCAGTCCTGAGCTTTTCAAGTCCTGTACTGGCTCTATGCCCACTGGAACATCCATGTCCTCCTCTAGTGGGGCAGTCCTTGTTAAAAGGTAAGAGACACCATGGAGTTGGGAAGCACTAGAGAAGCTAGGGAGGGATGGGCTGAGGATCTAGCAGTGAGAGAAGGGGAACAACAGCCCTGGTAAAGCAGGATCCTGGTGGCAGGGGGAGTTGAGAGGGAAGCAGGAGTAAGAGTGAAGAGTGGTAGAAAGGTGAAGAGCAGACAGCAGAGGGGTGGATACACTTCTAGTTCTTAGAATTCCTTTTCTTCTTCTTGGCAAAGAACCAACTAAAAATAAAGGATGTTTCTCACTTGATGGACAGAGGGATGACGAAGGGGAGCCTGGGGTGTATGCAGAGTGGGGAGTGTCAGGAGAGACAGTGGCATTTCCTCATGTAGTGAGGAAGCTTCAGATGTGTTTCCACCATGACACACAGCGAGGCACAGATGTTTATGCAAATGGAGATATTTAGAGACAAAAATTTGTATCAGTTGTGCTGCTGTGCTAAGGTCTGGGAATGAGGAAAAAGAACGAAAAGGCTCTGAGGCTAAAAAGGAAAATGAGTGAAATCTGAAGGAGTGATTTACCGTAGGCAGTGGGGACATTAGCGTGAAACAGGGTTTTTTGCTTTAGTCCACAGTCTTGTAGGAAGGTAGTCGTGCCTCCACATTTCATAAAGTGATATTTTAAGTTGATGTGCTTTTTTTGTGATTGCAAATTATTTTTTAGAAATATTAGCAAATGAGAAGTTTTGTGTACAGAAATAAATTTTTGCTTGAATTTAAATTTGGAAAGTGTTGTGCTGGAAACTTCCTTGTTTCTAATTCTTATTTTGAGAAATTCCAGTTTGCTGGAAGCAGAGAAAAGCTCATGTCTCTTGTGATGCAGAAGCCCAAATGCAGAGAGGTGCATCGAAAAAACACAGAGCTACTGAAATGAGTTGTTCAAAACTGTGCCCCAGAAAGTGTTTGCAGGACTGTTTATAAAGACGGAAATTTAGGGAAGTGTGGTTTCATGTATGAGCTCAAAAGGATTAGACAGCAAAGCAGCCTCACATCCTTACTCTTGGTATTTGTAGTGAGAAGATCCAACATCCAGATCCCAGAAGTAATGATGGAAATATTGAGATATTGATTCATTCTAAACCTTCAAATATAATGGTTTTCAAATGTGTTATTTTTTTCTGCTTTTAGCTGACTTGAAGAGCACCATGCCTGACCTCTGCCCACCTGTTAGTTTACCTCTCAGGCCAGAAAGTGGTAAGTGCATTTATGTATTAAGGAAAAAAAAAAAAGGAAACATCCTCTATTTTGTGCACATTGCTAAAAGATCACACTACTATGAAATATTTGTGTTCCCCATGAGGTTACTCATTTAGGTGATTATTTATTTTTATTAATTACGTATCATTTAAATGGAACAATTGTCATATCTGCAATGCTGACCTAATATCCCACACTTGGTGCCACATGAGGTCACTGAAGCAAACTATTTGGCAGGATTGATGAAGACATTTATTTATGAGTGTGGATGCCACATCACTTTCAATGGATATGATGAATCTTATGGTACTTACATGTGTTATTTTAAAAGTGGGTGGAGCCTCTTAATAAATGAAACTTAACTGCTGTCTTCCAGGGCTTTGTGTCTATTGTCCCCTAAAAATATATGCAAATTGTCGACAGCTGCAGGTTTCCCTGATGTGTCCTTTCCAGAAATACACAGCATAACTGCTAAATGCTGTGTGTAATGGAATGGAAACAGGTTGACTGGTCATTGGAAAACTCAGTTTAGCCCTCTAGTTAAACTGAAATTGAGAACTCTTGTCCATCTCTGCCCTTGATTTTCTGTTTGATCTGAACAAATATTTAATCTGTTTGTATCTGTCTCTCCTTAAACCATATGCAACTGGGTTTACAGGGGATGGTTGATATTGCAATATTGAGTTCAGAATTTATTAACCTCTACTTTATCATCATATCCATGGCCACCAGTCATGATCAAGTTCACACTCTTTGTATTTATTAGTAGAATTTGTGCTTTTTAAATTATCTTTCTAATGTAATAGAAGGAAAATTCATACCTTCATGGGTAAGCAGAAATTATTTTTGCATGAAATGCTTTGAAGAGCTGGTGGGGTAGTACGTAGGTTGGGCAATTCAGCTCCTTTGCAAACTGTTCTTCCCATGGCAATGTGGAAAACCATGTCACTAAGACTTTCTTGCTCCTGGAGTGAAGTTTAGTAGTAATTTTGTCATGTTTCTTTTATGTTTTTTCTTGCTTCCTTAAGTCTAGGAAAACAGTGACCTAAGCAGCACTTAAGGAAATTAGGAAATTAGGTCTTTCTATCATTTACTTTCTACTCTAAAGGCTGCCCAAAACTTAGGCCCAGGAAGTGAGTCACTTTACCCTTAGTAACGGCCCTGATCTGTCACACCCACTCCCAGCTCATCTTTCCAAATGCAGAGCAAGTAGGGATGTCTCTGGTTTGCAAAGGTCTGGTTGAGCAACCCAAGCAGGCAGAACCTTCCCATAAGGATGCAGGATTCTGGATTAGAGCTGTGGTCCTGAGGACTGACAGGGGTCAGGACAAGTCACTGAATTACAAGAGCTCAACTGGCCTGGAAGTCAAATTAGCACCAGTATCCAGTAGATTTTGCCTCTGACACCAGTGGGTGCAGCAACACATTCAAAATGCAACTGGGCATCATCTGTCCTTCTTTCATTCTGCCTCATTTCGATAGTAGAAGCACCAGCCTGGCTACCTAAGTCAGATTGTGCCGTGTTGTCAGAGGTTTTGGAAAATTGTCAAAAACATTATTTCCAAACTCTTGGTGATTATATATGTTATATTAATATATGCTATAGGAAACTAATTGTTTTGGAGTTGGGCATAATAGAAAAGTGAGTGAATTTTGTACGTTGTGGTAATGCTGGTACATGAGGGTAAAAAAATAATTACTGTGACTCCTCTGTGGTAACCAGATGGTGAGTGTGAGGAAATGTCACTATTTAAAGGGCATTTCTATGAGTATATATCTGTGTGTGTGCATGTAAGCACATATACATATAAAAATATACTTTTTTCCATCCAAAGATCAGAAAGATACTTAGATTTGCATGCTTTGCCAGAAGGCTCTGTGGAATAGTGAAGTTAATGTTATGTCCAGTCTAGAAGCTGAGTTAACTGGAGCACCATCAAGGCCTACATTTCACTGGACAGTTAATGCACTTGACTGCCTCCTTTCCTAGTCAGCCACTTTGCAATGCTCAGGACACTGCCCAGCACTTTGCTTCCTCCCATTTGCAGTCAGGATGCTGCTCCATTCAAAATCTGTGGTGTTTGCAGCCCCAACATGTTGTGAAGGAACCCAGATGAGTAGACTTATTTTCAGTCTTGTGGGAAGTAGATGCTTTGCCTGTTGTACTCATTGTTCTTCTCAATAGAGAGGGTAGAGGTGTTCTAGGACCATAAAACAACAGAAGAAATCTCAACAAGAAGCTTTTCTACAAGTACCTGGGTAGTAGCAAAAGGTAGAGTAGGGAAAATATGGGTTTGCTGATGAATGGGGCAGGAGACCTGATGACAAGAGGATATGGAAAAGGACAAGGTGCCTTCTTCACCTCAGTCTTTACTGACAAGTCCAGCCTTCAGGCCCTTCAGACTGGGGGGAAAACTGCAGCAAGGAAGATTTGTCCTCAGTGGAGGAGGATCAGGTCAGGGAACAAGCTGGACATACAAACCCATGAGTGCAGAGGGAGCTGGTTAATGTAATTCTGAGGCCACTCTCAATTACCTTTGGAAGGCTCTGCTGGTGGGGGAGGTCTTTGCTTTCCTTCTGTTCCCTGGTCTGGGCTTTTAAAGAAGTTCACCAGAACTAATCATCATAAAATCTCCAGACTTTCAAATCTGCAATGACAAAAATAATTTTCGAGAGCAACTTCTTTTCATGCCTTGTCATAGAGCAGCCTGCAGCCACCAGGGAGTTGCAAAAAAAGTCTCTTCTCTGTGTGAGGCTATAACCTCAGGAGAGACACAGCACAGGGGGGAGGCTGGAGGTTCTTCCTGTTCTTTGCCTTGTATCAGACTGTTCACCCAGCAGCCTGTTACTGTGATCCATCTCTGTGATTCCTCTCAAGAGCCTGAGGCTCCAGTGGGCTTTTCCCAGGTTACTCCCATTACGAGCAGCATTGCTGTGTGTTTCTAACACTCATTAGATACCCCATTAGCCTGTGAAAACCAGGAATTAAGTGCTCTGTAGTTCCTGCAGGTCACTCCTCTCTAGCAGGAGAGAGGTGAACTGTACGCTTTCACCTGAATTCTTGTTGATTTGTCGTTGCTTCGACAAGTTTTACCAATTTGTATTCTTGCAAAAGCCTTTCTGCTACAAGGTTAAACTCTCCAAGTCATCTTCATCACCAGGCTGTAGTGTGTTTAACTGAATGTGTGGTTTTCATTTTTAACTGAATTAATACTTTAATTTACTTCCATGCATCCACTGCATGGAACAGAGCGTACTCCTGCTGGGCTGTTGTGATTTCCGCATAGTTTCTGTGGTCTAAGAAATAACTGAAAAATAGATAGTCTGGACAGACGAGGAAAGTCCAACTTATTACATTTGGAGCATTTTTTTCCCCTGAAGAAAATGTGCCGTGATGAGACTGAGTATGGAACTATCTGTGGTGAGTTTCAGGTATGATCTGTGACCTTTAATGGTGGGAGGACAGCTGTTATTTTAAGACTGTCCGTGCTGAAGATGCTCATATGTCATCCTGCAGTCTTGGTTTACTTATGCTGGTCTTTAAATAACAACCCCACTGAGCTGCGTGAACATGGAGGAATGTTATGTAAAAGAGGAAACAGCCAGGTCTCAGAATTAGGTTTGAAATGGAACTTTCTGTAGCCAGTTGTAGGCTAGGAGAGATAAGAAAGGTGGGTTTTTTCTAAATTATATATTACATATTGTTATTTTACAATATGTAGATGCTGTTATTCGAACAGTTCATGCACAGGGGTTTGAGCTGTGGAGGTTTTTATGTCGACAATTAAGTCTGAAAGAAGCAAAACAATCTATGAAACATGTTACTTGGATTTTTAGAAGGAGTACTTGTGCTTAAAGCAGACTGGAGAGCCTGAAAATACTCCTGTGTATGTGGGAGCAGTGACCCCAATGTATGACATTTGACTTTGTTATGAGATTTATGAATTGTATACAGTAATTATCCAAAATTTACTGAACATTTCTGTCTTCAGTTCTAAGTAGGATGTGACTATCTTAGATTTGGCAACTGCTAGAAGACAGTGGCACATAAATGGTGGTCTCTGCATGGGACTCTGGATTGTATACAGATCCTCTGGGCTCTGTTCCCATTCCATGCAAATCAAGTAATTAATTAAGAAACCACTGAGGCATGTGGATGTAATGATCTGTTAGGCCTTTCCTGTTTCTGCCTCCTGTGATCCCCTAATGATTTATACCCATTCCCTTGAGGCAGGACTGAGCAGTGGCTATGGGGTATTCCAACATGGGAATAAATTTCCCATCGGGCTGTATCAGCATGTGGGGTATTTCCATTCTCAACAGAGATGAGATGCTGATAGGACAAACGCTGATGTAGCTGACTTTGGTAATTAATTGTATCATTTATCTTCCTGTTTTCCCACAAGGCTGAGTATTTTTCAGAGAGTTCTTTGCTGTGAAACAAAGACAGCTTTTTTTTAATCCATCTCTGGGAACTGATCTACCATGCACCCCCACAGCAAACTGGACCTCTGGTGTGGAATTGCTCTATCTTTGGTGTTAACTTTGATTTTTATTCTGTTTGTAAATATGAGTATTTTAGCCTTTTTAAAACAGCTTGCTTTAAACATGGATAAATATATAGTACAGTTTTAATATCCCACTACTATGTCACTTATTGTAACTGGCAACCCTAAAGGAGGCAGAAAGCTTGTATTTAACAGTAATATAGCAAGATTGCTCACTGCTGAAGACCATAAATGACACAGCTGTTAGTTTTGGGACCTGTTTGTCTGAGGTGTGATTACAGTTATTATGCAGCAGTTTAAAGAAAATTACTAATTTTGAATTATACAAATCTCAGTAGATGGACAAAAATGAGAAGCAGTTATATTTTAGGAAGGATATATTTTCTGCAGGTCCACTCTGAGTTGATGATTTGCTGGTTTTGGAGACTACTGGTATATAGACAGGTTAGCAGTCTTTGTTGGGAAAAAACTCTGAATACCTGGAATATAAAACACTGAGTGCAGTCTGTAAGCATGTTTTGGGCTTGAGTCAGGGCTATTGAATATGGCTTACAAATCTCAGAACTAAGATCAGAACTTGTCTTTCAAACATAAATCAGGCATACTGAACCCAGAGGTCTGATTTATGTGCCTTCTTAAGCTCATATTAACCTTCTCAACTTCATGAGTTTTCTTTTAAATTTAACTGGTTCTTTTATTGTATTCCTGTATCTGTTTCCTTATATAAAATGTTAAATTTTCCAGCAAACTCAGAACGGATGCCTCTTTTTTTCCACTGAAGTCAGTGATGGAACTTTTGTTGACTTTATTTTAAGGGGTTTATAATTTCATTGCCTGTGAAAGTGGGAGGCTGAACTCTGTGTCCCCAGGAAATCTTTTCCAGTCTTCTGATCTTATAAATGGAGTGGGAACAGCGTAAGGCCAGCGTGAGTCCTTTTGCAAATCCAGTCTTAAACCTTGCCTACCCAAACAAGAACATCTGGAAGAGAGAGGCTCTCTGTATGGGACATCTATAATTTTGCAGTAAAAGTTACAGGGCTGGATGGATTCAGAGGGCTGTAATTATCCAATCAAAGCATTTGCCAAAATGTGGTTTGGAAGGTCAGAGCTTAACCTATATATAAAGCAGAAATGTCTTCCAGCCCATCAGGTGCACTGTGCATTTCCAGTACACAGTGCCAGGTTGTAGCTCTGTGCCTCATGAGAGCAGTTTCTAGACAAGTCAAGTTTAGATCAGCAATGGAAAGTGGGGATCTATGGGCATTGCTGGATCCATGGCCAGGAGAAGGGAAGAAGGAAGCAAATAACAGCCAAAATCTCTTTTGTAGCTCACTGCTGGCTGGCAGGATCCACAGTGGTGCCATGCATGTCTCTGGCTTAAAGAGTTTCACTCTGTTATTAAAATAAGCATTAGTGTTTCTGCATCTCTCTGCATCTGGAGTCAACTGGGCAGAGGAAGGGAAAAGAAAAACAGTGTAAGTCTCAGCATATAAATCTGATCTGAGGTTATGAATGTTTCATACAGGACTGAGCATGAAAAAAAACCCACTCCATACTCCAACCCAACCCAAAGAACAACTCCATGTGAGATTTTTCAAGGGTCACCTCTGTTAGATTTGGAGCAATGAATAAGCAGTTCAGGTGTGAATGCATGACCAAGGATGTTTCCATCATACGTGGTCACTCTTCTGTGCCTAACATGGGCTGCAAAGTGCCCATTGTGTCTCATACATATCTAAAATGTATGTTACTGACTTGACCTATCCCACATAAAGGGGTAAAATAAGTATCTTTTTATGTAGAAGTAGGAAGTTTATCTTGTGAAGTGGAAATAGGAGACCAAATTCAAGTGTCAGAGGTGGAAATCCAAGAAATTTATTTTGCTCTTGTAGATTTGTTTTGATATGTGGGAAACAGAGAAATGTGATGATGAGACTTGCCCGAGGTCACTCAGTGAGTCAGGGAAGCTATGGGAAGAGAGTCAGTCTGGAGAAATGTCTTCCAAAACCACTGATGCACCCAGACTTTTTGCCTTAAAGTGGAATCCAGAAAAAGCTCTCCTTTGAAAGAACCACAGCTGGTAATTTGAAGCTTTGTGTCTGAACCTGGAGAGATGTCTTGTTCCAGCAGTAGGACCTCAGTTACTTGTACTGCACACAGCACAGGATGGCAACGTTGCTGTTATGGGAAAACAAAGTTTGAGTCATATTGATAAAAGAAATCTTTTCTTCTTCATGTTTTCAGAAAAAAACCAACAAAACCTGTAAAATTTAGTCTGAAAAAGAAAGAGCTGGGGGGGCATGCGGGGCTGGGGGGTAGTACTGCAGGCAGACAATCTCTGGAAAGGTTGTAATGATTACTTCTCCATCACTTACAGAGCTGATTTCTATTTTTACATATCTTTCTAAATAAATGCCACAAACTGGTACCCTAGATGGAGAGGGTGAAATTTTCTGACACAGGTCATACAACAGCTCGTATTAAATATTTTAATATAGAGAAATCATTGAGAATATGAAAAATACTGATTTCCACATGACTAAAATCACTGTGTTCCTTTAAATGATTGAATAGTCAGTGCTTAAGGGGAAAAAAAATATTCAGTGCAGTGGGTCTGCTGCACAAGTCAAGTTGTGATTGCAGGGTCATTGCCCCCTGACTAGTTCAGACTCCCTCTGAACAGAGTGCTGGTGATGACTTTGCTACTCTGTGACATCAGCTAAGTTTGTGGCTTTTACATAGAAATGTGCAACACCGAATTAACCTTCATTTCTACTTAGCTGGAAACTTTCAACACTTCTCTTGGGAGAGTTGCTCCCAAATATAACAGGAACAGAATGATGCTGAAGTGGTTGTAAAGGACCCGTGGGACCCAGCCCTGCTTTGTTGCCTCTAGTTCAAGAGGGCTGTTTGGGAGCTTATATGGAGCAGAGTAGGTCAGTTCATCACTCCATCAGAAGTTTTCTTCAACAAGGGTTGATGACAACAGGGACCAGCACTAAGGCATCAGCCTTGGCAATGGTGGTAGCACATTATTTTTTTTCAGCTTGTCCTCTGGGAGATAACTCGTGCTTGAGGTTTACACTTCCTCGGGAAGGATTTAGCTTGCAAAATCAAAGACTTCTAGCATCAATGTAGAGCCCTGGATTGTGGCAAGTTACCCTGTGTTGTCATGAATTAGTTGGAATAATATTATTGGGAAATCTAATTTAGTCATTGCTATTCCCTACCTGTTTTCTCAAGGAAGGATGCAACCAGCCTTGTCTGTGGTGTGTTTTTGGTTCTTGGGTTCAACTGAACAAGTATGTAAACACCAGGGTTTCCAAGTTGATTTCCAAGTTGATTGAGTACCAAGTTGAGACCCCAGGCCTCAGCTTCTGGTGTGGTGCTGAGTGTCATGGTCAAGCTGTCTTGCTGTGAGAGGGGGAGGAAGGAAACTTTGGCCATCTTTACCAGTCACTGATTTCTCAGTAGATTAAAAGAAATGTTTAATGAAATGAACTTTCACAACTTTTACATCTGTGTGGTAAATGAACTCCAGCAACAGGGTAAGACCTGCTCACCAGGAATAGCAAAGGAACAGCTAACTCAGCTCTGTCCTCACCCTACAATTACATGGAAAGGATAATGCCAACCTACTGTTTAGGACTCAGTGGCCACAGTGGGGCCTTCTGCTTTTGAAACAAATTGAACTGTTGAAAGGAACTAAAATAATTAAAGGCCCATTCCTTTTCAAGCCTTCTTTTTTTGTCTTCTCTGTGCAAAATTGAGAGTCTGCAGATATTTTTGTCTGTGTATAAGAAGGAAATGTCTGTGGCTTTTTTTTTTTTCAATATTCTGTGAAAGAGAAGAACAATTCTTGAGGAACACTAGAGTGTATGTAGGTGCTCACACATGTACATGCAAGTAAAATGTTTATATGTGAATATGTGTGTTTGTATGTATGTGATACAAATGATTATATTTACACATGTATATTTCTGTATAGATACATATGAAATAGAATGAAATCTACATTATATAGCAATTAATGACATTAAAACAATTTATATAATTTAATGTAAATCTGTCCACCAAATCAAATTAAAATTATGAAATTAAATTCCATTTGCTTTCCAAGGATTTAGTGGCTGCATCTATTCAGCAACTTGTGTGCAAGCATTATTATTCATGCCCTTTGACTGGCCATTATCTTAATGTATGTAACCCTGTTCCTTCTATTTAAATCAGTTGGATTTACATGCAAACCTTGATGGAGCTACTTCAGATTTATCTTTTTCTTAACTGAACACTTTTGTAAACCATTATATTTCATTTATTCCCAGTTGATGCAAAGGATCATTGTTCATTGGGGAACTCCCCAATGCTTTTAATTCTATATTAGTTTCCTCTGAAGCTTTTATTCATTCTTCTAGTTATATTATTTTTACATTTCATTTTACAGATCTTTTGGATGTATGGGAACCCTTAAATGTGTCCTCTGTTGTCGTGGATTCATCCATCTCAAACTTTGAAGTTGTGCAAGTTAGTAGAGACATATCCAATGACTTCTCCGCTGCCAGAGACTTTTGCCTGTATGGTAAGAAATGGTCATTCATAGCTTTGCAGAAAATACTGACCTGTGAGCCTGAAAAGCAAGAAGTTCCCCCACTTTGACACAGATACACTGATTTAATTTATTTTTAAATAGTATCCCGGTGGTTTTGAATCTAAGAGAAGGGACCTGAAATAGTTTAACTGAGGAAATACACAATAGACATAAAATGCTATACGGTGAGTGTGTAATTTTGACACTTCCTAGGCACAGATGTCTCTTACTTCTCCAGGCATTGTACAACCTGGAGCGTATTGTAGCAAATAAAGAAAGTGATGATGTCATAATTTTCTAAAGGACAGTTAAGGGAAGCTCATCGAGTGAGACAGATGAGAGACTCACTGATCACTGTCTAAAGTAATTTATGGTGGTGGTGTGTGAGGGCAGGTTAACTGAGAGCTGGGATGAAGCAAAGGGAACTGCTTTAATCAACATCCTGACTAGACAGGAAAGAGTCCTTTAACTGCACATGACTGGGAAATCCTAAATGCTGCAGGGCAGTAGAAATAAAGAAAAGTTCCCACCTACTGCTGAAGATGGTCTGTGGAATGGTCCCACAGTAGGTGGTCCTCACCTTGTGAGGGTGAGCAGTGTAACTAACTGGTTTTTTTCCTTTTCCTGTAACTGTTTGAAGGATTATTTCTAGAGGCAAAGTGTTGGATACCCACTGAGTACAGACTGAGGATGAAACCTTTCCCTGGGGCTCCCTGGGGACTGTTTGAATTCAGATGAGGTTATCAGTACTTCATTAGATAATGCTTTTCTCCTTCTAAAACCTGTGATGATATTTCTCTTGCTGTATTATTTCATTTTAAAGGCAATATAACCTTCTAGTCTTTTGGCTATTTTGGAGAATTTTCTGGGAATTTGAGGACATTTATGTCCCATTATTCTGCTTTAGGGCTACTTCATATCCTTGATGTGTTGTATCAGACATGTAGACACCTATCACCTGTTGTAAAACCCTTCTTTTAAGCATAGTGTCATACAAAATACTGTGAGGATACATTTTTACCTGCTCTTTTTCTTCGTGTTTCACCTCACAGCTTGTTCAAAGAACCAGTCATGTACAGTGGTTACACTGGAAATCCAGCCTTCAGCAATAAGGTGCGTTTTCTACCCTGACACGCAGATCTGCACACACGGCCTGCAAGGGCACAGCTGCCGGGTTTTACTCAAAGAACCTGCCACCTACATCTACAAGAGACAAGGTAAGAACAGGTTAAGGCTGTTGGGGAAGGACCTCAGCTGTGCACAGTTCTTGTGAGTGGAGGAGTGAGGAAATCCTCACTAGACATGAAGTGATATAGAGGCCTCCTAGACGCTTGTCTGTTGCTGTTTCAGTGGAGTTACAGCCAAACATTTTTTGTAAAAATGCGTGAAATCATAATATTACCCTCTAGTGTTGAAGTAGATATAATAAAGGAAGTCAGTTTATGAAAGATGCTTTGGAAAGGGCAGAACAGTAAAACCAAACAAGAACAGTAAACCCAAACAAGAACAGTGAAAGTCCTGAACTTTTTAATCTGCACATGATATGCCCTTCCTTTTAAACTCTGAGAATAACACAGAGTGTTGAGAAAACAAAATAAACACCCCTGGAGAAAACAAAATAAACACTCCAAACAGACACTCCTGCTCCCAAAACAGGATGAACTAATATTTTAAAGGAGTGAAAATGATTTTAGAGAGAAAAAGAAATTGTCTAGACAGTGTAGAGAGGTAAAAATTCTATTATATGGTTAAGTACTTATTTGAAACTATAAGTTTCATTGGGTTTATTACACCTTGATTTTTATAGATACTGCTTTCTTTTAATGTAATACTGATTATTTCATTTATTAGAAGTAAGGAGAACCCAAGTAAAAATATGGGGGAAGGGAAGAAATTTTTCTTTTTCTTTTCACTGAAATTCTGTGAAGAATTGACAAGTCAATGAGAACCTTCTAGGTTCAAACTTGATGAGAGAAAAGGTGTTTATCATTGTCAAGGGTAGCAAAATCAGAGACTGAAACACAAAAAGCTAGACTTGTGTGTTTGTTCTGTACAGTTTTAGTTCCATGACTTGGCATTTGGTTTCTACCTATCAAATACATTGTTTTAGGAAAGAAATAGCTCTGTTTTAATGAATTATTTTATAGTGAGACAGTAACAAATTTATCTCTTTCATTTAAAGAAGGGAATTGGGCACTTAACAGTTTCAAACTAAGGGAAATGGGGCTGCTTTTCATTTCTGAAATGGTAATAACTGGAAAAAAGCAAATTATTTTTCCTGTGTTCCCTCTGTGACAGATTTATTCCTGCCCATTTCTGAATCGGATTTGACCCCATCTGTGTACATCCCATCCCATGGAGATCTGGTGGGCAAATCCCAGGTGATCCGCATTGGCTCGGAATGGAGAAATATCAGCCAGTTCCTGGGGGTCCCATACGCTGCCCCTCCCCTTGCAGAGAGGCGCTTCAGTCCCCCAGAACCTTCTGCTTGGGTGGAAACCTGGAATGCCACAGTGGCTCGGTAAGAAACCCCTGTCAGCACCTACACAAGTGCTTGTCTGTCCAGGTGTATGAAAGTAGGTAGAGTGATGACCACAGTACCCATGTCCTTTCTTGCAAAGCAACCTATATATAGAGTACAGATAGGTACAACTTTGGGACTTGGATTAGCAAAAAGAATATTTTGTCCATCTATAGGTTAAAGCATGCAAGACCCTTAAGAAGAAAGGCAAATTCCAGTACATCGCCTTGAATATGTAACTCCCCACCAACTGTCTGCTGTCAGTCCATTTTCGTTCTGAATGGTATTTATATGGGTATTCATGATATTTATACAAATATATTTTGCTCCTGCTGAGCCATAAATTTGTAGATATTTAGTCAAACAGGGGCATTTAAACATTTATGTGACCAGAAGTTGTGGACCTCATATAGAAATTCTCTGCCTTGTTGTGTCCAGGAGATCAGGCTGAAGGACCCAGAAAATCTTTTCTGTCCAAAAACTATTAAAAGGGAAATACTCGCTAAATGACTTGGACAGAAATACAGAAGTTATAAATGCTTAGGTAATGCCTTAAGATGGAAAGAGTGCTAGGAACTGTATTAGCAGATGGGCTAAATTTCTCTTAAGTGCCTGTATCTAATGTTTCTGCTTGTCTGGCCTTGGCTCTCCAGGGCTGTACAGGCATCTCTGTTTGGTGAGTTTAGATTGGGGGTACTCTAAAGGCATCACCTTTGTGTGCATGTTTGTGGTTCATTTAGTCTTACAAGAGGAATCTTAGTTTTGTTGCATTGGGGAAACAAAATGACAAATTGTGAATTTGTTTTCTAAAGAAAGGAGGTTTTGGGTGACACTGCTTAGAATACCAGTGCTGTGGAACATGTCAGGACAGCGGATTACAAAAACTCCATAGCAAATAAAAATGCAGCAACAACAGGAAACAAGCTATAACCTATGAAAGTGGATTTTTTTATAGAGTCTTTCTCACAGTGCATCCCTGTTGACTGTTTCATGGCAGACATGAATAGCTGCAAGGTAAAAATAATGACAGAAACAAGAAATGGGAGGTTGAAGATGCAGAACAGTCAGAAGGGGAGAGCTTGTTGAAGGTCTACATGAACTTTCTGTAGAGGAATTTGAAGAAATCAGGGCTGAGAGCTGAGATTTAGCAACTCAAGAGCTCCCCAGGCACCTAATATGGAGCTGAGGTCTATTGAGATCATGCACACTGAGCCATGCAGTCCTGTTCAATTCCTGGCACCAAGAGTGGTCCTCATGTGGTTAGTGATGAACCACTTGAGCAAATGAATCTGACCACGAGCTTCATGGTTAAGGAAATGTGAGGTTTTGCAAGGGACCTGGGAGGGTCAGGGCCTGCAGGCCTGACATGAATCACCACCTGCTTTGGTGGAAATACACCCTGAGGCTACAGATTTAGACACCTATCAGCTGTGTGGGATCTATTTGTTCCCTCCTTTACTCAGGATTTGTCTCCAGAGGTTTCTAGCGAAGTCCTTGATGAACTGAGTGAAAAGAGATGTGGCATTTATTTTCTTGGGGAGTGAAAGAGCCTCTGGCCTGTGGTGATCTCGTCCTTCATGTTGCACCTGACCTGCAGAGGTGTTAACAGCATAACCACAGTAGCCACAACCTCATGTACATTGGAGGGGTCTGGTGGGACGTGGCTTTTTTGCTTTCTCAGGTTCACAGTGATGTTAAGTTAGCACAGACAGCACCAGCTCTTGGTGTTTGCAGCCACAGTGTGGTGTCTGTAGGGCTTTGGTGAGACCCATCTGCCTCTGTGGTCACCCTTTGAAGACTTGGTGTTGCAATGAGCAGCCTGGTGGTTTTTAAAACAGTTTAGGGACATAAGTTTATCTGTTCCTATCTTTTGAATTCACAGTGCTTTCCTAATCCAGTGAAGAATTTGGCCATTATATTCTATTATTAATTTAAGGTTAAAAACATAATTATTTGACTTTACCCTTGTAGAATGGGAGAGACCTCATTCTCTGTATGTATAGAAAGTGTTGATTTTTTTAGGATTCTATATTAATGTTGCTCAATACTGTATATAAGCACAGTACTATTAGTGATGGAAGAGAAACATTTATTTATCAGCCTGGACCTGAAAAAATACTCAAAAAACCCAAACCCAAACCAACCAAAACCCCCATCCACCTGTTGGAGTCTCCAGCTGCTGGAAGAGCTGTGGACTTGCCTCAGCAGGTGGCAGCCTTTCACTGGAGTCGGTCCCAGCATGAGGAACTCTTGGGAGCAGGACAAAAAAGAAACCTGTGATTGTGGGTGATGATTCCTGCTGCCCTGTGGAAAGTTGTATGATTAATAGTATTAGACCTGTTGTCCTGGCAGGGTTCCTACCTGGGAATTCGTATTTTCTCTGCCTGAAGTGGCTTTAGCAGTTTTGGTTGGAGATGATGTACTTCTCCATGTCAGTGTGAAAGCTCTTGAGTGATATCACTGTCCTAGGAATCTCCCTTATGGAAAAAGATTGTAGAATTCCATTAAATCTGGTCCTTTTCCTTGTGGTTTTCTGTTAATTTCCACCTTCAGGGCAAAATTTTACAAGGACATCAAAATAATAATTTAGAAAGAATTCTCTGAAATATTACCATCTTTTCTATAGCCTTTTTTTTGCTTATTCTCTAAGAAATTGTGAGGTTTTTGCATAACTCGTTGTCTGATACAAATACGGCTGTAAAGTAGAAGGAGCTGGCTTCAAAGTAGCTTATTACTGAACTGCAAAGATCATCCACTTGATTCTTATGCTTGATATGTTTGAGCATATGACTCTCATTCAGATGATGGCCAGAGAATGATTTTCTGTACGTGGTTGGCTCTTGAACTCCTATTGCAAGGTCACATTTAACATTGATGTGCACAGTTAATGGTCTGCTCTGATGCTTAAAGCAGAGATTTAAAAAATGCATTAAAATTTTAAACTTACTGTATTTTCTCACCGACCACTAGAAAATAAATTAAACACAAAGAAATGGAGGCCACAGACCATTAGAAAATAAATCAAAATATATGTAGCCCACAGACTATTAGAAATTAAAATAAATAACTGACATTTCATCAGAAGAATGTATTATATAGGTGTGCAGGCAGTAGCAAGGGAAATCTGTGCCTGAGACCCCCAGCTCTGGTCCCCTTGCAGCTGGTGCTAATTTTGTGCAGTTTATGTAAAGCGTGAGTTTTTTTAAAACATATTTTCAAGTTCTTAGCTTTTTAAAATGGGTCAGGGTTTCTGAGGAAGGACTCTGGATGTACAAATACAATGCACTCTGTGTGTGTGTGTGTTCAAACCTACATACTTGTTATTAACATATAGGTGGGAACAGTTTTAAATGCCATTGAGATCTGCAGATTTAATTATTTTATTAAGCTAATGCATCAAAATATAAGCAAATGTCAGCAGTGGAGAAAGAGTACAAGCCTTTTTATTGTAACTTTCTCAATTGGTGTCTCTAGGGCAGCGTGTTGGCAACCAGGAGATGGAGAGGCCCCGTCACAGTCTGTCAGTGAAGACTGCCTGTATCTGAACATCTTTGTTCCTGCCACCTCTGTAAGTAGGAGAAAAGTTGCATTTTTTTTTGTAACTGAGGACTTTCTCTTTTCAAAGTACATTTAACTGACATGATTGGTTGTTCTTCCTGTGTTCACAGAGCCTGCAAAGTTGAATTAGGCACTCAGGTGTTCTTACTGGTGCAAGAGCATTCCTTGCAGGCTTCCCATGAGCCGTGTTGGATAACCAGGAGGAGAGCATACTAAAAAGCTAAATAGGAGAGAGACAAAGAGGGAAACAAAGTACAAGAAGAAGGTGAGGGCAAAGATAGATAAATTAGGGACAGAAATGGCAGTGTTCCTGCAATAAGACCAACTGTCCAGGAGTCAATAATGCAAGACAATACATCAACACTTGTCACCAGTCAGGGAGCTGCTGATGTTTTTTTTCACCCTCATATTTACTGTTCCTCTGTTGACATCTGTGGGAGATCTGTTGAGGAATGAGAGTGGCAAGCAGTGCTAGATTTGTGGCCAGCTCACAGGGCATAAAAATAGATGTTTCAGAAATGACTGGGCCAGTGGTACAATATGAGGAATTGTCATTGGAAAGTTCTTGATTTTCTCATTCTGAACAGATATAAAAGAAAGCTTCAAGTTAAAGCCAAGCTAAAATGATTGGCCAACCCCTGGGGGACTGGGGATAAAGATGCTGAATAACATGTGAATCCCATTGAAGAGTGGGCCCAGAGACAGGAACTGTTTCTTTCCACACTACTGGAAATTTTCAGAAGGTGAGGGTAGTTATAGTAGAAATTTATAAGTCTGTCATACTTCATGTCTGGAAAGAGCTGGTCTAGCTATCTGACAGCAGCACAGAGAGTCCCGTGCAGGCCCGTTTTAATCATCAGAGAGACCAGCAGTCTGTCTTCTCCCTGCAGCATCAGACTGTCATTTTCCCTTGAGTGCAGTCACCACTTATTGAAACCATCAGGTCACTGTCCCAGGCAGTTTGCCATCTGTGCTTCAGAGCTGCTTTCAAGATAGTTTATTTGAAAGCATTGTATTTTCTACCATCTGATAGACTAAATAGGCTTGTCTGGCTGTCCTGTGAACTGAATCCCTCTTTTGTAGAGGTGTAAGGTAGAAGCTGGTCCAATCAAGTCAATCAGTTTCACATGCAGAAGTCCAGCCCAAGAGAGAACTAAAACTTCTGGTTTTGCAGAAGTAGCTGGGAGCAGAAGGCATTGCATTTTCCTGTCTCTTTTTGTGGCGAGCTCTATTTTTTACTCACAGAGAGCTATAGTTATATATTTTCAGCCCACGGAAGGTTAAATCAGCTAGTAAATATTGAATACAAAATCTCTTGAAAAGCAGTGAGTGCAGAGGTCATTCAGGAGCATTTTGAGCCTTAACAAGAGCACAGTGCAGGGACTGATGCCTCTCACCAAAGAACTCTCAAAGTATCAAGCAGTGAAGAAGGTGAATGACATCACTTCATTTTGCTTCCATAGCTACAAGTACCACAATTAAACTGACACTTCTGACTTTTTTCCATCTATAATCATCACCATATGTCACACTAGCAGAGCAAAGCTGTGCTTTGCCTTTATTTAAGAATAGTTTAATTGTAAGATCAAGACTTTAAAATCTCCCCTAAATAAGAATAGAAAGTGTACCCTCTCTCTTCTTACGCCATCCTCTGCACATGTTATTCCCATCTTTAGTGCATCATCCCCATTGCACTGAATTCTTTACAGAGCTGTACTGTACACTATTAAAAGCACTGGAGGTTGCCTGGCTTGGTAGAGTTTAAATCTATCCCTGCCAAGCGTTTTTTACAGAAGGATGGGCAGGGAGGGTTGGACCAGATGACCCCACCGTTGGTCCCTTCCAACATTACCAATTCTGTGATTCTGTGATGGAGAAGATGGTTCTGAATATTATGAAGCCTTTCAGACTTCAGCTGACTTGCAGCTTCCTGGTGGCTGCTGAACTTCATTCCCCTATTAGGAGTTTGCACATGGAACCTAAGACCTTGCAGTCATGAGACCATGATGGAGCTGCCAGGCTTCCCATTGCTGGATGCAGACAAGGAATGGGAATGCTACATCCATACACTTGACACTGTGCACAGTCCAGTGCTAAATCTTCCCCTGAATTACTCCATATCTGTTGCAGCTGTTGCAAATGGCTTTGGTTTGCCATTTCAAAACTTTATTGCCTGTCTTAACCTTTCTTAAGCTTTTAATCACTGTAGCATTGGGTAAAGTCACTCAGAATGATGTAATATGCACTTTACAGGGCAGCTGAAGGTCATGGCGCTACGGAGGCTGTGGACACTTAGGAAATACTTAGTGTGAACCTCAGGCTTAAACATGGTGAACTGAGGGGATGGAGCAGGCTCAGTGTGATGGTTAATACTGTTTTAGCTGAGGTGGTTCAATGTGGTTGTATTTCAGAATGAGTTTCCATCTGAAAAAAGATTATTTCATTTTTTTTCTTTACCCCCATCTCTCTCTGTACTGCATGCACTGCAGAAATGGGAACCACAGACAAGGCACTGCAAATTGGGCAATTTCAATTCGGAGAAGTTCATGAGAAAAAAGCAGCACATCTCAGTGCTTGCAATTTCTTGGGTTTTCTTTGTAACATTGTCATGTTCACAAGAAGCCCCTGAAGTGACTCACCAGATATATAAGCAAGGAGTGTGGACAATTGTGAAAAATTAAGAGCAGCTGAGGGGTGTTTGCCTCCTATTCTGCAATTTTCCAGGATGCTGCAGCCATCACTGCTCTGCTGCTTCTTCTATACAGCCAGTCATGTTTTTGCTGGAGACATTCTGTGCCAGGACAGATGGTGCTGCTGTGTTCAGCTAAGCTCCATCCAGAAAATAACAGCATCAGAGCCCATTGCCCTCTAACTGCAGGGAAAACCAACCCCAGATGTACTTTGCTGCTGCTGCTGCAGGGGCCACAAGCCCTTCTTCAGAAAACAACACCAGCTGCCAATGCAGAAAGTGGGATGGTGGATGTGCATGACCTGCTGCTGAGCAGAGGAGAGAGGAGCCTCCTTCAGGATAGTCCCAAAGTGGGCAATAAGGGGATGAAAATGCTGAATGGAAAGTTGAGGTTATACTTTGAAAAAAAACCTTTCTAGCATTGGAGCAGGTTATTCTGCTTAATTCATCAGGCAAGAAAAAAAAAAGGCAAAAACTGAAACAAAACCCCTCCATATGTTTCGACTGAGGATATTTCTTTAGAGTGTCATCTTGGTAGAACTGTAACCTGCTGATATGTGCTGAGGTCTCCCGGGGCAGTTCTGGGTTTTTTCTGCTCATGCAGCAGCAGCAGCAGCCTGGCTGCAGCCCTGCTGTGTGTGCAGAGAGGGTCCAGTCCTCATGCTGCTCTGTTTCTATGCAAAATGAGGTGGCTGTGCAAGGAGTGCTAAACATGGGTGCAGACCATTGTAGCCCCTTCCCATGCCGGGAGTCCTGCTGGGCTCTCCTGGGCAGAGTAACTCTGTGTTTCATGAGAGGTGAGTTTCCACTCTTGCAGAGATAAAGTCCTTTCTACAGGACTCCTTTAGATACCTAGTAGAGGAAAACTTCCGTGGGAATTGAAGGAGCAGGTAGTGTGATTGATATCAGTATGAAGTGACATTTTTAAGACCAGGCAGTGCTTAAGTGCTGAAGACTTGAGAGCAGGAGGCAGCCCTGCACAGCTATTGAGTTAGTCTTGCTCAAGAGGAAGCAACCCAACAGGCCTTTATCTTCTCCTGTTTCCCTCTTGTTTGAACTTTTCCTGCATGTTTGTGTGAAGCAGATATGCTTTTACAAAGACAAGCCGGTCATATGCTCAGGGGCCAGGGCAACAGGAGCTGCCTTGGGCTAACCTAGAGGAGATATGGACTGGTGGAACACAGTGGTGCTATTAGATCTGCCCTGTTTAATGGTATATAGGTCATTGTGCTCGATTTGTGGACAATTGTGGACAATAGCCACTGAATTCCAGACAGATAGCCAGATACCCCCTCATTATGGTCACTCATAAAGAGCTGTAAATGGCTTAGATAAGGTTAATGGGGAAGAAGCTTGTGTCCTCATCAGTGACTCACAAAAGCAGATGGCTACAGGAATAGTAACCTGGTTGTTGTCATGGCAGGTCAGAAACATGTCAGTGTTGCTGTTCTTCCACAATGGAGGGAGTTACAATGCTGAGGAGGGAAAGACAACCCTGGATGGATCCTACCTCGCTGCCATTGGTAACATCATTGTCGTGACAGCAAACTACCGGGTCGGTGTTTTTGGCTTCCTTAGTACTGGTAAGTCATGGATTTCCAGAACAAACACAGCTATGAGATAAATTGCATTTTGTAACACTTCTGCTTCTGATTTTTATATTTTTTTTAATTAATTTTTTAACTTGAGAATTATATATTTCACTGATTGGGGGTTTTTCCTTTTTTTTTTTTTTTTGAAAAGAAAAATAGCCAAGAAATGGTGATGGCTAGATATGAAGAGAAAGGGGAAGGGTTGGAGGCAAAGGGACAACAACAAACCAAACTCAAGCATCCATATCAAAGCACTGGCTAGACTTCTTTTTGCAAACGCAACTGTGGATATTGGGTTTTGCAGACACACATGAAGATAGGTTAGGCATCAAAATTCCTGCTAACTCCAGTGGCCTACTGTTGTGAGTATGGTTTTCAATGACTCCAACTTCCAACTTGTTCCATCCATGAAATTTTGCTGATGCTCTGTTGTGCCCATGTGAGAGTGGGGAAGAGGCAGAGAGGGATAACTGCAGGTTCATGGTAAGAAGGATGTGAAAGGATGGAAAGTATGGCACAAAGATGGTTATTTCCTCAACAATTCAGCCTGACTTCTCCTCTGAAGGACTTGCCACATTTATTTGAATCTGTTAGCCCTCTGTACTGTCCTGGATCTGAGTGAACATTTGCATGTTCTGTGTTTGCAACTTTTCCCCATATTCTTGTGTAAAGGACACTTTTTCTCTCCTATTGCCCCCTAATATCAACTGCTATTGAAAATTATACAAATTCCCATCACAAAGAGGCACATACACACGAAAATGTACCTTTGTGGTGGTGCCATCTGCTCTTTGGGATTGTTTTTGTGTTTTGTTTTGTTGTTGGTTTTTTGTTTTGTTTTGTTTTCTTTTCTTCATTTTGACTTTTATTAGATTTACCTGTTTAAGCAAATAGAGAATAATTTTCTTTCTACCATCTCTCACTTCTGCCTGGGGCAGGGGAACTAAGGTAGACCATGAGAGAAAATGCAACAGTTGCAAGTGGAGCTCTGTCTCCATCGGTCTTGTAGCAATTCTTGGTCTCTCTAGTGGGTATTTTAATACCTTTATAACCTTTAGGAGGCTATGTTTGCCATGTTTGCAAATACCAGACCTACATACTTTGCCTTATGATTCTTTTAAGTGTTCACTGCTGGGTGGATTTTGCCCAGTTTGGGGTTATAACTGCAGTCATTGGTTATTGTTCCCCTTCTCTGTTGATTGTTTTGTTCAGAGCTCGCTTTGAGCAAAGCCCATCTTTCATTCAGTATCTAGAGATCTGGCACTATAAGCTCCTTTACTCATTTAGGTAAGAAGCTGGCAATAGATGTATCTGTAGGGGAAAAAAACACATCAGTTTTCATCAGTGCAAACCTGATGTTTACGAAAGTGATACCATAATTTCATTTTGTCTAGACCCAAATGCAGCGTGGATATGTGCTGTGGGAGCTTCCATTACGCAGCACTGCCCACACATTACCCACTAACCTCCTTCAGCCTGGTGAGCTTCACCTGGGTTTCTTCCTAAGTGGAAACTGCTGGAGGGGCTGAATATTATACCCCAGTGTTTATGTGGTGGTCCATAATTTCGGGAACAGGAAAATTATTCGGTCTCTTTTTCATGGCAATCTGCTTACATGTCCCAAAATGTCAATACGTGGGCTTGGTGTATGTGATTGGCATTCCTGCAAACCTTCAGATAGAGGTGGTTCATTACATGTTGGGACTATTTGGGGACCTTTTCCTCATTTGTACTGTGGAGCTGCGACCAAAGAAAAGTGCGGTCTTTACTGGCCTCGTCCTCTTTGGGAAGTCCTTGGTGTACATTTGGGAAAATCCTAGAATTGTAGAATATCCTGAGTCAGAAGGGACCCGCAAGGAACATCAAGTTCCAACTCCTGGCTCTGCACAGGACCACACCAAGAATCACACCATGTATCTGAGAGAGCACACCTTGAACTCAGACAAGCTTGGTGCTGTGACCACTGCCCTGGGGAGTCTGATTCAGTGTCCAACCACCCTCTGGGAGAAGAACCTTTTCCTAATATCCAACCTAAACCTTCCCTGGCACAGTTTCACACTGTTCCCTTGGGTCCTGTCACTGGTCACCAGAGAGACATGACCAGTAGCCACTGGGGAATTTCAGTGAATGTTAGCAGTCTGGGTCAAGTAATACAAGGATTTTTCTCAAACAAATCTTTAATGACATTCCAGGGATGTTTTTTTATTCTTCCTGAAAGACAAATCCTGGTCCTTTGGAAGTTTAGCCATTAGATTCAAAGGAGGCAGGAGCTTATCCTTAGGATTGTGAGGACATTAGCAGCAGGACTGTTAGAAGGTTCTACAATTAGAAATAAAAGTTATGAACCTGTGAGTAGTATTAGTTTCATTGTCCAATTAAGAAAAGTGCTGAATCCTCTCAGGCTGACTTGTTATAAATTGCAAAACTAGAAATGAAGAAATTGAATGGATATTTAAGGAACTGAAGAATAGTGAAAACAACAGATTTCCTTTTGTTTGGTTGGGGTTTTTGTTAGTTCTGCAGTTGTTCTGGTCTCAGTGGCAGAGCTTTCTCAAGAACTGAAAGAACTCTTTTTCTTCTATGTACAAACGATGTTTAATTTAATTTGCTGTCACCCATTAATGTTGCAAAAGGAGATGCACATTCTTGCTGTGCCTTTACTTCTTGCTTTGCATCCAGAAAAATTAAGGTGAATTGCCAGTGATACAGATGGCAAGGATATGGAGAAAACAGTCATGTTTTTGCGTTTGATTCTTTTAAGATTCCATGAAGTCATATAAAACAGAATGATTTTCATGCTTTAATTTAGCACTATTGTTCTTCTCCCATTTGGTAATAACAGAATTCCATATGTATGTTCAGAAGGAAGCAAACAAAGACACTGGTTTCTTTTCAGTCTCCCATGGTTCTCAGGAATGTGATCTTTTCCTACAAAAAGGCAGTGGAAAAGATTCCTGACAGACATTTTTCTTTTGGTCTAACTCCTATGAATGTCCATGCATGCAACTGTTCTCCAATGTGGTACATTTCACAACCTGGCTGTGGTTTTTGCCAGGGCAGAAGGAACTGGTTGTATTTCCCTCTTAAGACTTTTTGTTAATTATACTGGTAGCAAACTGTGTGGCTAAAACATTTACATGGATTTACATATAAAATTTTCTCCACCAAAAGGATTGTCAAGCATTGGAACAGGCTGTTCAGGGCAGTGGTGGAGTCACCATTTAAAAGATTTGTAGCTGTGGCACTTGGGGGCTTGGTTTAGTGATGGATCTGGCAGTGCTGAGTTAACACTAGGGTTCAATGATCTTAAGGGTCTCTTCCAACCTAAATGATTCTATGATTTCACGTCCTCTGGGAATGTCTCACAAGGGATGCAGCAAATCCTTAAAATGAGATTTCCTTTTCAACAGCACAAAGTGGGTTTATTGTTGGATTGAGGACCCTGGGAACTGGTTGTGGTGTGCAGAAAAAACTAAAACCAAACCCCAAAAACTAACCAGGGAAAGTTTTTCCTCCATTGCTTCACTGGTATGGCTTGGGCTGTTCATCTGAAACTATGGCTATAGGTGAAAGATTGTAGTTTTTAGGGGTTTGGGTCACTTAGTTTTTGGCTGCCCTACTGGAAGGGTGCTTACAGCAATGCCTATTTTTCATGTGGGTATCTCTAAGCCCTGCAAGGTAACCAGTTGTCCGTTCTCCTTTGTATTTATTCTGCTGCTTAAACTAGTATGTTTGATACCTCAGTAATTCATTACAGTAGGCATATTGATATCTACCACAGGATGTAAGCTTTCAACTGCTCTTTGCCCAAGACAGGGCTACATGTCCACAAAGTGGCAACTTTTTATTCCACTCGCTGTTGATTTTGATTCACTAGTTTCTGAAGCTACCCTTACTTTAAAATTGTACTATTTGGTCTTGGCAATGGAAGAAACAAATAGTTTCAGCTGTTTTTCTATTCATGGCTTTTTTTGTCTTGCCCTGTGGGGCTTTTTTTTCCCAAGTTTTAAATGTGGAGAATTTTAAAACTTAAAAATAAATGGCTCATTGTGGATTATAAAGAAGTAGACAGTGAATAATCATTTTCTATTCCTTTCTTACAGACTGTGGAGTAATTACTTATTTATGCTTTTGTTGATATAAAATTAACCTTGCCTAAGGGGTTGCATCATTAGATGTTTTCAGCATTAGCTTCCTATTAATCAGAGTATCAGGTTACCACTTGTTGGAGTTGAAAAGAAAGTGTTGATACTTAGGCATGGGAAATACATGATTAATTATTTGTTTTCATGTTAACAAAAATATGAATATATATAGCAGATTTCTGCCAGTTAGAGATAGGCCAATCTCAAAGGATAGAGATGGAGATATGACACATTTTAAAATAAAGTCTGGAAACATGTAAAGAAATGCAAGATGTTATGACTTTTAATGATTGGTCAGACAAGGTAAGTGTAAAAAGGATGTAGGAAGGAAACATGCAATTAGGTGCACTCCAGGGAAACAGTCAATGATCCTTATGGGTCCCTTCCACTCAAGAATCCGGGAAACACACAGATTTTTTTTTGCGTGCTTTTAGTTAATTTTAAGATCGAGCTACTTATGTAGAAAAAGAATCTTATGGCTAAATTTGTGGATACTTGAGCCTGTATTAGAGTCTCCTGCCATGATGTGTCCTGATGAAGCTTAGAAGTTGGAGTGTTATTTTTCTATCATCAGGACAGACGAAAAAGGACCTCCAGAGCTGCCTGGTGGGGTGGTAAAAACTGAAATGGAGTCAGTCTGTAAAGTGATATCCTTGGAAGAGATCACTTTAAACTTTCAACTTATGGTAGCGGTTTTGTCCAAGTTCAGCTTCAGGAGCTGCTAAAAACGTGACATTTAGTCAAAACTTCAAATGTTTATAGTTTTATTTCTTTTCAGCCCTGTTTTATGTTCTAAAACAGGTTCTGCTGAGGCGAGTGGGAATGCTGGCCTTTTGGATCAGCTGGCAGCTTTGAAGTGGGTGCAGCAGAACATTGCTGGCTTTGGAGGAGACCCCAGCAGGGTTTCTTTGGGAGCTGACCGTGGTGGGGCAGACATCACCAGCATTCACCTGCTCACAGAGACAGCAGATACTGACCTTTTCAGGAGGGTGCTGTTGATGGTAAGTTCCATTCCTGCTTCAACTTCATTGTGAAAGGATGTTGTTGCAGAGATGAGGATGTTGCAGTGTGTGGCTGCTGGTTTTATTTCATCCATACCTTGGCAGCGCTAATAGGGCTGTTATTGCTGTAGCTATTTTTCATCTCACCTGTGACTGTTATCTCCAGGAGCTGAGTGCTTCACCAGGATGTACAAGAGATGCACTTTGGTGTTTGATTTACTCATAGTAAGAATCTAGTTTTCGTCACTGTGGTTTTTTGTGCATTATATAAATAACCTTGTTTCATAACTTACAGGTACAACAGCTTAGTTTCCATTCCATAAATACGTTTGTTGGTCAGCAGTTTTTAGACTCTAAAACTGATGAGCCAGACTTCTGCATGTTAGAATAGCCAATCTTTTTATCTGATCTTATGGCAGGTTTCGTTTAAAAGAAAAGGAAGTTTCAGAGAGTAAAACCGCATTTACTGATGGGCTTGTTTGCTGTCAGCTTGGACCATTTTCTCAGTCACTCCAAGTGATCCATGTTTTTACAGCCTTTCCCATGTTAAATCTCAAGACTTTGAGATCAGTTTTGTCAGTGTCAATACTGCCATTTATCTTTACAGCCTACGGTAAGAGTGGTGTGCTTTGAAATAAGGCTTAATCATCAGAGGAGGTTTATATATCCAGCAGAAATGGTACTTGGAAAAATGATCTCTCTGCCAGCAGGGTTGACTTTGAACAGTGAGCAGTGGGACAGAATTCTTGGTTCAGAAAACTTAGGGCCCAGTTAAATAAAATCTTATCTTGAAAATAATGACATCTTTATTTTTCTTCAGTGTGCCCTTGCTTCAGAAAACATAACTTGTCTTTTGCATCCCTTTGGCTCAATAAGTTCATTTTAATTGCATCAATCTAGTGGGGAAGACAAGGGGAGTTGTGGAAAATTGCTGCTCAATAGTTGGGATTTTTTTTTTTTTTTGTGTCGTTGTCAGACAATTCCTCACACAGTTCTAAGATTTTTACTCAGCTCTTGCCATAGCAGTTAATTTGCTAGGAGACCCAGAGTCCTTTCCTCTCGGTTTCATCCTACTTTTACCCTGAAGTCACAAACTTTACTGACATGGCTGAGGATGGGGCCCTGTGAAAGCTGTGGCAGGATACAGTGCAATTTACCCGTTGAGCAACTTGGGAAAGGGAAATGCAAGAACCTCTTTGCTTATTGTTACTTCTGGAGTGTAGTTCCACATTACATCTTTTCTTTTATACAAAAAAGTCTAAACTCATTCTTTCTCCTACAGCAGAACACTGCACTTGCCACTGTTTTCCATTATTCAATGAGCAGGCAGGTGCATCAGTTCTTTCCACTTACCTGGTGTTTGTAACAACAGTTTTCTTCCTGGGACTGTGCAGAGCACTGTCTTGGCAAAACCAGGGTCTCCACAGATTTCAGAGAAGTGTTAATTATTTATCCTGACAGCATCACAGTGGTTGTAGTTTTCTTGTGAAATACACTGACAAAATAAAAAGCAAGCAACAGAAGCAGGAGCTTGTAGCTTTAAAATATACTTGATTGCCTTTTTTATTTTTTAAGTGTTTATTTTTAATTAAAGTGATGCCAAATGCAACTGCTGGTTTACTCAGATTTCTCACTTACACCTCCTGTAAAGGGATGTGTCTTACTTTTGTTCCCAGACACCAAAATCATTGAGTACTTTTAATTTTACTGTAAAAAAGGAGGTGCACACAGACTAAGAATCATAAAACTGAAAATATATACCAGATATAGCTTTTCTGAGGGAAAATCCCATGAAGCAACACAGCTCTTCTGCAAAAGTCAGCTTTGTGCTCTTTGTTTTGGTCTTTGCTATGCATGATAAAACCATACTGTTTCTGAGCATGCAGAGAGGTGTGATGTATGAAAATTTCTTTACAAGAAGACAAACACCTGAAATAGCAAAATGCTTTTGAGTTTCCTATGTCTGCCCCATAATAGGTGTTTTTTTGGAACAGATCTGTAAACAGATTGTACAAAATCAATAAAAAGCTATCATGAGGACCCTTTATAATTTTTTTCACCTTTCGGTAGTGTGATTATAAAAAAGTGGTATCAGTGATTATGGTGTTGTTTTAAATGGTTTAAGAGCATTAACCTGGCATCTGACTTCATCTTTTGATTAATTGATTTACTTGACAGTGCAATTTTGATGTAGAAGAGTGGATCAATGGTATGAGTTTCAGGAAGCTGTGGAGGGGCAGCTATGTTAGGTGTCCTCTCCAGGCATTCCTGGCAGGTGTCAGGAGGTGAGCTCCCAGCCTCCTTCCACACAACACAAGGGAAGACACCAGGTCCCTCCTGGGCACAGAAGCAGATCAGCCAATATCGGAAAGAGAAGGTTTATTGTCCTTCTGGAACTACTGCAGTCAGGTGCAGGGCTGTCTGACATGGACCATAAATATCCCTGATCCTGGTGATGAGCTAGGCTTTAGATCCCCTTTCTTCCCTCTTTTCCTGTCTCCTTTTCTTCTCCTTTACCAGGCTCATTCCCTCTCAAACAAACCAACCGGCTCTGATTACTTTTTTTTCCATTGATCCCGTTTTTTTACACCCCTACCCAAATTTGGTATTTCTGATGGCGTGCCTTATGTAATCTCAGATTTGTATAGAATCACCTCGGTGTTGTCGGCCCTTGCAAGGTCATGTTTCCCTAAAGGTCCCCAATATAGTCTTTCAGTTATTTGTGAGAAATGACCAGGCCTCACAGAATTTCCCCATAACCATCTGTAAAATCCAGCCATCCCTGAGGCACGTGTAGTTAGGATTTGTCATGTCATTACTGTGAGGGGGACTGAGCGTCTGCACAGGTTGCCCAGGGAAGTGACCAAGTGCCTGCCCAGGTTGCCCAGGGAGGTTGTGGAGTCTCCATCCTGGAGATATTCCAAAGCCATCTGGACGTGGTCCTGGGCAACCAGCTAAAGGTGGCCCTGCTGGGACATGGGGGTTGGACCAGATGATGCCTGCAGGTCCTTTCCAACACTTCTTACAGAGCATGTTCCAAGTGCTGCCAATTGTATGGGCTCTTGGATTCTTTTGTTGTGTTCCATCAAAGATACCTTTTGGCAGTGGCATTGCAAGACTGAGTGCTTGAACTAGTTGCACACTAGGTCTTCCTTTTTCTAAAAGCAATACAAAGTAACTACTGAATATTATTTTAATTAATAAATACATACAAGTCATGACTTAGAAATCTGTAATGCTCCCCCTATATATTTTGTGGATAAAATGCAGTCACTATAACATATTAATAAGCAGTAACAGTAGTGAGATTATGCAAACGCCTAGAGTTCCTGAGTTTCTTTTGCTTTTTGGAGTTCAATGTTTACCAGCCAATTACATTCATCCTGTAAGTTCTGAGATGTGTTTAAATAGGCTGTGAAATATATTCATCTCTGAATCTCTCTTGATAGTGCAAATGACCTGATACAAGATCTAAAGAGCATACAGATGTGTTTACAGGTGATATATATATATACATATATACACACACACACCAGTTCTCTATTTCTCCAAATCTTCATTATTCAAATCTCTGCAAAAAGGTTCAACAGAATAATGTACTGAAAATATCTCAGCTTGAGAACATAGGTTGCAGCATTTTACACCCTCAGGTGTGAGTTATTGCTTGATTTCGAAAGCAATCCCAAGGCAAGTTCAAAGGAACCTGCCACCTGCTTTTTATGCCCTTAGCAAAGGGTACATACATGTAGAAAAATTAATGGAATTTCAGAAAATCCTTTAATTTTTAAGTGGTTTGATGAAAAGTGTCATTACTATTTGAGATAACTCTCTTCAGACAAGAAATTAGGAAAAATCTTTAACATCCACTGTTACTGATTTGTTCTCTTAGTTTAATTATTTTAAAAGCTGCTAATAATATAAATATTATACATAAATATGTGGCTTACTCCAGAAGATGAAGTTAAAATATATTCCTCTACACATAAGAGGTCACACCTTTGCAAGCCAACCTTTGCAGTTAGACACAATATTATCACATTTTACTTTTTGTTTAACCCCCCTTTGTTCTCTGTTTTATATCTGCTACACTATGAGCAGCTGAGTTACATGTTTGGATATGTCTGTACTCCCATCTCAGGGATAAGCAGGAACTGCTTTTCTCTGTGAATTAGGCCTGTTCTTAATTTTGTGGCTACTTTAATTAAGAACTGTGGTTCTTAATTTTGACGCTGCAGGCCATTGTGAGCAGATGAATTAAATGCTACTTGTAAAGTCAGTGATTTTAATTTTTTCTCCTAAAATGTAAGTATGGAGTCAATATAATCAGGTGTTTCTTGGATGCTGGATGTTAAATACTTTCTTGAAGTTATTGACAACTTTCTGACCCACTGTCAATGACAATGGATAATTCTACATTGAGAACAAAAAGGCTCCTTTTTCCAACGTAGATGGATTCTGTAAAGGTGGTTTTCAGCCTTGTGGAGAATATCAGAGCAAGACTTAATTTAAGTTCTTGAGCTGCAGTTAGTCCTTGCCTATGCAGTCACCTTTGTACAGTGCTGGGCATCAACCTGCCTCACTTGGCTTCTGATTTAAAGTCTATCTCCATTTTTGCTGTTTGTGAGCCAGTTCTAATTTCAGGTACACTGGGGACATTCCCAGCATGTTCCATGGCTGAGATAGCACCCTTGAGAAGGTCTCTGAGTAACATTTGGAAGAGAAATGCAGAAGTTCTAGAGTTGGGTCACCAACTGGGGTGCCTGTATTTCTCAGCTGTTGAAGGACTGCAGGACCATGGGGTGCTCTGGGTTTCTCTTCTAACACCTCAGTTGTTGGGTTTTTTCCCACTGATTGTCTTATATTTAGTCTTCATAGTATGTAGGTGGCAAGTGAAGGGCACTTTTACGTTTGTTCCCTGTGTATATAAGAGATTGCGCTTTCTTCTTTCTGGCACTTGCAAAAGAAGAGTTGTCATCCTCTGTTAGGGAGAGGTAGGAAGC